CTAGCCGAGACAACACTCGAAGTCGGACGGACACGTTTTTCTGCCAATCTGTGTGTTTCCCTTTTTGTCCAAATATATTTTTTACGACAACTGTCTTGTCCACGGTGTCTTTTGTTCGTTCCACTGGGGTTTAGCAAGTGTGTTTATAAAGAGACGAAAATCTCTTGACTGTTACAAGTGTTAGTGTTTCAACACGGCTACACTCGTGAAAGCAAAACAACAAACTCAAACGCGTCTTCGTTCAATGTTGTCAACTAATATCCGGATTAATTTTCGGCAAATTTTCCTCAATTCTCCGGACAGATTTTCATAAAAATTTGAAAAACCCGGAATTCCGGGAAAATCCGGAGGACTTTCATCTCTGTTAACAAAACAAACGCTTTGCCCCAAATAACTCATATCTTGGTTTGCTTTTACACTCTGTAAGTGGGGTAGAATTGTACAATCTGTCTCACACACCAAACCAAAATTGCATCTCAATTACTGATGGCTGGCTGGATCATCCACTTCAATAAATACCTACCCCAGGAGTGTCAAACTCATTTTTGTCACGGCCCACTTTCAAGTTAAGTCTTCCCTCGGAGGGCCGTTATGACAGTGAAACCAAATAAATGTTTAATCGTCTCATTGTATCATCACTTCTATTAAACAAATTGGTGACTTACGAAGTTTTGAAATCACTCAAGTCAACTATACACAGTAGTTTGTTCAAGTAAGGGTAAACAGGGTGACAAAATTACCGCAAGATCTCAACGTTATTTATTACTCTTGTCAATTTGACATTTCGATACAGATTTTAGCAAGGATCATGGAAGTTGAAATACATGATTTGCTTTCACGGGCCATATAAAATTATGTGGTGGGCCGGATCTGGGCCCCGGGCCTTGAGTTTGAGACTCGCAACCTAGCCCTATTTAACTATTTTGCTTTACTTTTTAAACTCCTAAAGAGTGGAGCAATCATCAGCCAAGGAAAACATTTAATAACTTGACAAACTGAAGAAGGGGTACAACATTCTGGATCTGGTTCACTTGTACTGCCTAATATTAATCCTTGAAACCGAATGCAATAGTTTCCTAACCCGCTAGATTTAGCTTTGGCTTGTATTGATTCATTTGAACAGCTGAATTTGTGGGGCGTGTTACGAGTGACAATCATCGAATGGGAGAGCCACACACACCAAAAAATAAATAAATCGTGACATAGGCGGAAGCGCTGTGCTTGTTCTACCTTTTCGTGGCTAAGTGCAAGCGACGTGCTAACGTCACTCTGTGGTCGCCTGCGAGAGGTGACAGTTAGCCTAGCCGCGGCTAGCTTCACGCAGCTTATTCGGAAGTCTACAAATGCTGACTTTTAAACATGCTTAAGCATTCGAAATGAACACCTGGCATATACCTTTGAAGAACTTAAGGGCCATTCCGTACAGCTCTTGAAGAGGAAAGCCCCATTTGTTCTCTGCGGACGATTTGTCAGACTCCCCATCGCCGCCGTCGTTGTTAGCCTCAAGGGTGGCCGGTGTTTGGACGTCGGGCTCCGCGGCGGCGTCCGGTCGCGACGGTGGCGGCGGCTCCTCCGGCTGGCCCTGCTCGACCTCCGAGTCCGGGCTGAGCGTGAGGCCGTCAACGGAGACTTCGAGACGGCTGGAAGGAGCGCTGTCGAGGTAGCCGCTGTGAACCTCGGTGGCCATCATGCAGACTGTCAGCTGAAGCGGCCACGTACCTACTTCCGTTTAGCCTGACGGAACTTCCGGGAAATGGTCTTATATTTTGCAAATACTGTATATTAATTGTTTGAAGAGTCCAAATCGAGTTTTTAAAAAATTAACATTGTGTTCATTGTGAAATAAATACCTGACTAAAATTCTACTTTTGAAGTTCATTTAAGAATTTAGACTTTGAACATTTGTTAAAGGAGCAATTTAAATCCATTGCAAATAAAGCTAAGGGTGTGTGTGGTACTCTTGAGTCGTATATATGGTTATTATGTTCTGTATTCAAGGCATTTTGGATGTTATCGAAAGAAAGACCGTATGCCTAATTTCTTCAGCCTTTATGATTTTCACATAACCAATTGGCCTCTCACTGCCTCACCCAGTGTAAACAAATACTTTACAATATTTGCAGGATATGGTTTATGATGAGAATATTATTTGAAACATTTCTTAAGTGCCTTGATCCACTGGAGTCAGTGACCTGTGTATTGAGCTGTCCTTTTAAGTGCACTATTATGCTCATTTGCATCAGAATATGTTTGCTCATCCTTGGTGTTACAGTTAGAATTTATTGTACACACACATATTTATTAATCCTGTATCCTATTTTATTGTAATATATTGCACTTGCTATGATTTTCATATTCATCCGGGAAGCTATTTTTAAAAAACTTTAGCCTGATTGATTTTGTGTTCAGTGAATTTTAGTCAGATTAAAAGGCAGTTGAGGAGGTTGTGCTGTCAAACATCAAACAAGGGAAAAAGACTTTGGGGATATGTACTGACCGTCTGTTTGACACCTATAAGGACACACTACTCTTCTTTTTGTTTCGTCTTCTTCAACTGACCATTATACATTTAACAGACAGACGGGTAAATGATCCCCCATTCTGCAGTGATATGTTAACAGTCCAGCGGTCTTTGTATATTTGATCATTAGATGGTCGATGGCACCTCAGTATTAAGACCAGCAGTGTTGGAGTGCAACATGTATATATCTATTCCTGTCAATCCGTCATGCTTCATGCTGTAGTGTTCAGTTTGCGCTCAAATGGTGATTTCAAGAGAATGTATTGATACATGTATTGTCTTAAAGATACCGGTAAATATTTATTAATGCCCGTGTAGTATATTTGATGTAATACAATATTTCTGACTGTTACTGCTGCTCTTCACTTCTGCATATACTGGTATTCGTGTCATTTTCCAATGCATACAGACTGATTATTACTATTTTTTGCCACAGACACAAGTGTTGACTATTCTTTTGACAAACTATTCAATCTCATTGCTTGATATTATAAATGTGTACATAGATGAAGACATGAATTCAAATCCATTAATGTTTAACCTGATATGTGTTTGAATTATTTTGCCTTAAGTTTACATGATGATTCTATTTCAAGTTTTTTTTGTTTTGTTTTTTGGGATGCGGGGGTCAAGTAGACAGGAAGAAGTTGGTGTCACCTCACCTCTGGACATGATCCTTGCAAGGATTTAATGAGGCCATTCAGGTGTCAAGCACCGTGGAACACTTTGGAACTTGTCTTTGTGTATTGTGACACACTTTGTTGTCACTGAGGGTGAATCACTTCCTATGTGCAGCCAAGTTCAAAGCAAAGAGTGCCACAGAAAATCCCAGTCATTTAAATTAATGTTAACTAGATTAATAATAGTTGCAGCATCATTCAAGCACATCTGTGTTGGACATTTTAGAACAAGTGTGCATCCATTTGCATCGGTTTAAAATAGGGGGGAGGGACCATTATAGTTTTGGGCAGTATAATGGCAACTACACTATTTTATTGATTTCCAGGGTGCATTTGTATGGTACAGAAAAGTCAAAAAGCACGTTAATAGTAAATAAATAAATAAGGACACTATACGCAAACGTAAGAACATATAAGCAGATACAGTATATATCTTTGCGTAAATGCAAGCAAATGTCTGACAATCATTTGATATTAATATATTAATCGTACTTTTATTTCTTTTTTTTAGATGACGCAGTTGATTTAAAAGAATGAATACATCCATTTTCTGCTTTCACACATTGTGATATATTTTCACTTTCCCCTCGTAACATTTCAAATTGTGTTAGTCTTGTGACATTGTGATTTTATTCGTGTGTAAATATTAGTGATCCTGTAAAATTTTTATTTTATTGCTGCAGATGGACTATTATCATAACATCACAATTGTATTGCTGCATAATAGCAGTCTTGTAAGATTAGGATGTTATTGCTGTATAATAATTTAGCTATTTTGGTCGATGTATAGTGCATCCTTAAATTTTGTTACAACGAAGTTATTGTTTAATTTGTATTTCATTGGCTTGTAAGTATTGCAAAAATCAGAACTGTATTGTGCATACTTATTGTAAAAGTAGTTGATCGAGGCACAATGTAATTTGATTAGAGTAAAATTGCAATACTGGTGAGGAATGACTTGTAAGATTCCAACTTGTCTAATCACTTTGGTCTTGTTTGGTGAAGAATGACGTAAGATTCCAACTTGTCTAATCACTTTGGTCTTGTAAAATTACAATTTCATCGGTGTATCATGTCTATATTCTTGTTAAATTCTGCATCGTTGATATTGGTGTATAATGAATATTATAAAACTCTGATTTTATGCAGGATATTACGTTTTTTATAAAACTAACAGTAACTGGTCATGACGATTCATGACTTAAATCTCCTCCATTTCTTATTTACATGAGTGTCTAATGACTATAACATTTATTTTTGAAAGGCATATGTAATTTTTTTTCTTCATTTGTAAAATGTGGACCCCATTCTTGCAATTCTACTTTATTTTCGTAGGTTTTCTCCTCTTTCTCGCTAATGCAAACTGGGTGAAGCCGAAGTTTGGAGCTTGTGTCGGGAGAGAGGAAAGTGGTAGTTTCCGACGGTCTTTGAAGGTGACAGGTCCATTAATGGCTCGTCCCATGCCAAAGCGGATAAATGTTTTCTCTGCCGATGTGTATTGAACGCGCTCATGCTATTAAAAGTTCTTTTTTTTTTTTCCTTTTAAGAAGAGACTTGCGGCGGCCCTCCGGAGCTTCACACCTCCGGAGGGCCGCAGACGTCTGAAGTTGGCGCTTAGCGGGGGCTGCCGAGCGTCGACGGCCGCCTAGTTCACACTTTGCACGTCACACCTTTGATCCGCCGGGACATTTAACTCCGAGCGGGCCTCTTCCGAGCTCACTTTTTTTCGGGTTGGGACGTGAAGACGGCGAGAAAGCGATGTCGGCCATCCACGGAAACCTGCCCGTCGGGGACCTCAACCACTTGCAGTTGTACCACGAAGGAAGTCTTCAGATGGGCAATCCTGGTAAGGTGTCGCTCCTTAGAAGCTTCACGGGACTCGTTTAGTAGTTGCAAGATAGAATTTTTTTTTTTGGGGGGTGGGGGGGATATTCTACTTAAGAGTTTTTCCCTTCTAAAATGTATTCATCTTCGTCCTCCCAAGTACATTTTTTTATTAACATAAAAGGATGACTACAGTGGTGCAATCATTTGGAGAACTTTTTTTTTGGACTTGCCAGTCAACATTTTAAATGCAAGCACTTGATGGTGCCTGTGAACTAAAGAGGAAAAAAAGCTAAACGTCACTTAATGTCAGAAAACTACTATGAATTGTCACCAACATTCACACGAACAGCTGTACTCATGCCCACTTCGACCTCTGAAAATATCCATGCAATCGCCACCATACTTATGAATTTTATCGGCAAAAGCCCTTTTCTATCGTTCACTAAAGAGAAAAAAAAGCTTAACGTCGCTTAATGTCAGAAAACGTTTTCACATAAGTACATTTCTGTATTTTAAACAACCACATAGCTTCAGCTTTGGCGAACAGTTCTCTTTCGCTTCATGGTAAGAATGCAAAATGTCGTCGACTGACTGACGAATGGCATCATTGCCATGGCGTTGGAACCCTTTTAAGCATCACATGGCGACTGATCATGTCATACTCACAGCATGTATATATTCTTTATCCTCCCCTGAAACAAATCTAGCGTCTTACTGAGGAGTTTGAGAACTCAGCACCTCCACGTGTACGTATACTCTACATCAGGGGTCCCGAACCTTTTTTTTTGACTGAAGATCTACTTTTCAAGCAACCAAATTCCTGCGGTCAACCCATGACCGCAACATGTACGGTTTCACACACACACGCGCGCGCACCCATGAAAACGCATGTCATGATGAGCAACAGCCATAACGGCCCCTAATATGAACAAAACAGAAAAATAAAGTCGATACAATAGTTTGTGAGTGAGCAAATCACTGCCTACCTTTGTAGAGACAGGCAGACTACAAGGAGCAGCACAATGTCCATTGAATTGAAGGGGGTAAAAACAACACAAAAAAAAAGCTTAATTACATTCTATGTCATTCTTAGTCGCGCTATGTTTTTATAGAATGCGTTTCCATTCTTTTCAATCAGCAAAGGTGATTTCTGATGACTATTTTTGAAATTCCAATTTTACCGGTGTATAATATTCTCTTACAATTACGAGCGCAACAACACACTTACATCAACCTTAAATGTCCCCTTCAGATTTTCGAAGTGGTGACGTAACCAACTATTTGGCCACGACTGCCTCGGTTCCGCGGGTGGACAAATGCGTGGCCATACTGACCCACCGCAGGAAGAGGACCAACTTCACCCAGCAGCAGATCGAGGTGCTGGAGAAGGTGTACTCTGACACCAAGTATCCGGATATCTACCTGAGGGAGCGACTTGAGGCGCTCACCGGTCTGCCCGAGTCCCGAATACAGGTATGTTCAAATATGAGACACGTGACTGAACATGCTAGCCACAAGTTGCGGTTTCTTACTTCACGTGTGGAACAGAACTGCGCCGTGAACAGAGAGCCCCTGTCTTCAAATTTCTGAAGTGTTCGATTTTTCCTCCACTTTCAGGTGTGGTTCCAGAACAGGAGAGCAAAATCCCGTCGCCAAGTGGGCTCCTCGGTGCCCGTAAAAGCTCCCAATCCACTGCCATCCTTTCATCAGCTCCCCAACAGGATGAACCAAGACAAACGTAAGCACCCGCAGAAAAGCTAACATCATATTCACCTGGGATTGTGATAATTATTCTGTTCATCAGGCTTTTTTTATTCTTTCAGTTTATGACAACGGCCACAGGAGCATCATATTCACCTGGGATTGTGATAATTATTGTGTACATCAGGTTTGTTTTTTTTATTCTTTCAGTTTATGACAACGGCCACAGTACGGAGGCTCACAGGAATGCTTTTGGACTACAAGACGCCTACAGAACCCCAATCGAGGAACCCCACAGGACCAAAGCCCCCGGCGACCATTTTCTGGCATCGTGTCTTTACGAGAAAGACGCGAGGCGAGAGAAGGCCGAGCAGTTGCAACGGCGCGAGGCCAACGTGGACATCCCGGCCAGTAACGTCCTGATCTACCCCTCCAAGGACGGCATGAACGGCGATCCCAAGGTTCTGGTGGAGTACGACAACTTCCCGCCCAACAAGACCATCGGGCCCGAGATGAAGGTGGTGATCCCGCCCATCCCTATTCAGAACAACTTCAGCAGGTCATCGCCCAAAGCCGCCGGCGGCCCGCTCCAGTACTCGCATGCGAGGGCGGCGGGGAAGGCGTTCAACGGATTCTCGCCAGTCCACGGCGCAGATTTGCCGGACTTTTACGATTCGGACTCAGATTGGGAGAGTGAGGCCATGGTTGGATTTGGTGGTTTTATCTAAGATGCGGTGATGGTCTTTCATGACTACTTGCCATAAACTTCATGTAGACTGTACATAGCCCCTCTCAACCCCCAAAACAAAGAGTTGATAATCAAAAAGCCACAACCGCGTGCTGGCTTGATGTTGAATAACCCAGTAAAACTAAATTTGTCAACTCTGCGATATTGTTGTTTGCATAAAATATCTTCTATTTATTGTAAGATTGTAATAAAACGGTTTCATCTTGAATCCAGCGTTCTTGCTGAAAAACAGCTTTGCAATGTTGTGTTTAATATAAAAAAAGACAAACAAGTATATACAGGGCGTTTTCGTATATTGAACATTCGGTATGACAGTGTGACAAATGCAGAAATGCAACGATGAGGTGGGTTTTTTTTTTGTTGTTTTGTTTTTTTTTTTTTGATTCCCCAGGGGTAAAAGGCGTTTTTAAACTCCCTGCTGAAGAATTCTCCTTTTAAAAAAATATCAAAGTCTCTTTTGAGTGCACAGAAAAATTACAAAAAGCCAACAGTAGGAATAATTTCACAGATATTGTACAAATATCTACAATTTCATAAAACATTCGTTAGCCTGCGCTCGGAACAAAGCCAAAACGGGCAAAACACCTTTTTTTCTGAAATAAATAAATACATAACAATTCTAAGAATCAACTTTTGGCACGAGGAGCCAGCGAACAACGTGGAGATACATTTGAGTGTTTCCTTCCGTAAGATAAAACCGGAGGGTGATAAAAGGAAGATTCGAGGTGTCCTTTCGCGAGGGTTACTAGCGGTGTACATGTGTAACCCTGCTCACACCGCGTTGGTGTTGTTGGCCGAAAATACGTGCAGGTTGCCGAGCTGACTCAGGCCGCTCTGGATGTGCGCCACGTGGATCTCGACGTTGTTCTGGAAGCAACTGCAAGCACAACAACACAGAACAAGCTTGGTAATGACAACGGACTGTCTTGACTCACGGGGGTTAAGACTTTTTCATTGAAGAGCAACTTTCCAAAGTTCAATAAGTGACGTGCATCTGCCCTGAAGAGTCTCAATTAAAACATACCACTGTTTTGTTGGTTCCGCTATCGTGAAGTCTTTTTTTTTTTTGGGGGGGGGTGATATTTTAGACGCGACCCGGTGGTCCAGTGGTTAGTGCGTCGACCTCACAGTGCAGAGGTCATGGCCTCCGATCCCGGCTCCGGCCTTCCTGTGTGGAGTTTGCATGTTCTCCCCGGGCCTGTGTGGGTTTTCTCCGGGTACTCCGGTTTCCTCCCACATTCCAAAGACATGCATGGCAGGCTGATTGAACACTTCAAATTGTCCCTAGGTGTGAGTTTGAGCGCGGATGTATGTTCATCTCTGTGTGCCCTGCGATTGGGTTGGCAACCAGTTCAGGGTGTCTCCCGCCTACCGCCCGAAGACGGCTAGGATAGGCTCCAGCATGCCCCGCGATCCTTGCGAGGATAAGGCGGATCAGAAAACGGACGGATGGAAAGATTTTCATATTTGGTCTCTTTCCATGGGACTTGACAGGAATTACAAAGATTTTACAAAATTGAAGATTGCCTCTCTCCATTCACTGCTCCATTCATCAACCTTGTTGCACATCACTGGAGTGCACAAAGGGTGTTTAGGCGAGAATCTAAATTAGTGGTGCCCAAGTCCGGTCCTCAAGAGTCCTGATCCAGCTTGTTTTAGACGTCTCCCTCTTCCAACAAACAGGCCTGGTTCAAATGATCAGCTCATCAGAGAAGCCTGATAACAATCAGGCGTGTTGGAAGAGGGAGACATCTAAAACAGGCTGGATAGTAGCTCTCGAGAAGCGGACCTGGACACCCCCTGGTCTAAGCTACCTGAGGTTAGAGGGATCGATGGATGCTTTGATGTCATTGAGGGACTCTGTGAGAGATTTGAACTCAAATGAATTCAGGTCTCCGCCGTCTGCCAGACACTGCAAAAACAACAACATTCACATTGACGATACCTGAAAACTAATTCTGCCTTGCAGCAAGTGACCGCGAGTGTTTTCGGGAGACAGACGCCGACCTTGATCTGCAGCAGCAGAGCCGTGAGGCGCGAGACGAGGTGCGTGAGGCTGCCGTTGGTCACGCTCTGCTGGCCGTCCTTGGAGGAGTCGCTCAGGTGCACCATCTGCTGGGCCTCGTCCTCGCAGTGCCGTCGCAGGTCCGCCGGGTGGTCGGCGGGAAGCGCACCCTGGTCTGGAGAGAGCTGGATGCCACGTGAAAGTCAGACATAAAAGAACTGAAGGGTTTAGGTTGCCAAAATACACCGATGCATCTGCACTTGGCTTATTGCGGGTCTTGAGTGCCAACCCAAGATGCGACGGGAAGCTAACGTGCGCATTCAAGCATCTCGGCTCTACAATTTACCTCGCAACAGAACTGCTGCACTTCATGTAGGACTTTGCTGAGATCCTTGTTGAGCTGCTCCAGCTCGAGCACAGTGGACGCGTAGCGCTTCTGGAAGTCCAGCTCAATGGGCAAGGCGTACGATTTCTGAAACGCAAACGCAGAAGTATCGACTCGCCTTTTCAAATCATGCTATGATGAAAGCGTTTTTTGATGAAGGGCTGCGAGCGTTTGTACCATCTTCTCCGCTTCGGTGTTCATTTCTTTCAAGTGCTTGATGTGCTCTTTCTTGATCATCAGGATCTTCGACAACCTTGTCTGGTAATGGAGCGTGAAAATATGTTAGGCGATAAGAAAGCAGGACCAGGATGTCAATCGAAATCACGGTACATGTACGATGACAAATTTGGATATTTATATAGCATCCACTAGATGGAGCTACACACCTTCCTTTCGACTCGAGAGGCGTTCATGACCGCCTCCGAAAAACGTAAATTAATGATTACAGTACTTCAATGAAACTACGAAAATTGAAAATAATGCATAAAAACAGAAAATCAAGTCGGGAAAATCACAAAATAAATTCGATAGCCCCCGCTTGGCATTTCCATGAGCGTAGCTCCAACAGAACGATCAGATGTTAGTTAAAATGTTGGAAACTGGACTGTCTCAGAAGTTTTTGTTATTTATTCCTTTGTTGTGTATTCATAAATGAGGAAATCACAAAATAAATTGAGTAGGGGGGGCTAGAGAATTTATTTTGTGATTTCCTCGCTTGATTTTCTGGTTTGATGCATTATTTTTCATTTTTGTAGTTTCATTGAAGGAATCGTTAATTTACGTTTTGCGGAGGCGGTCATGAACGCCTCACAAGTCCAACGGAAAAAGAGAAGGCACGGAGACGGACAAAGACGTACCTGTATTTGTTGAGACTGTGAAAACCATTAATAAAGTGTGCGTTTTTAAAAAAAAAAAAAACACCACCACAGATCTCCTTTTTTCAGAGCTGCAACAAAAACGTATTTAATAAAGCAGCGACACAGTTCACTGAACCGGCAGCAAGTTATAACATTGTAAGCATGTCTCCACCAAGGAGCCATTTTGGGGTCGACATATTACCGTAATGCCCATACACAAGGCGCGCCGGATTTTAAGGTGCGCGGTGAGCTTTTAAGAAATGGAAGACTTTTTGGTGCGCCCTATCGTGCGGAAAATACGGTATATTAAATAAATATATTCAATGTCTGTGTGTGTTTTTATACACGAGTGAAAAATGCGTGTGTACCACTTGGACCAGGAACTTGACAGGAAACCCTCCGAGGGTGTCTCCGTCTGCAGCGGGCAGACTGGTCCTCCATGGTGACTGGTTGATGAGTGGGTCATGGTGGTCCTGGGAGAGGGAGAAAAGACAATTTTTTTTTCCCGACGGCGAGTTCAAATTATCATTTCATCACTACGATGTGCGGTAATACCATGAGGACGGGAGTGGTGGCGGACGGGTAGGGACCTCGAGGTGGAGTCATTAGGTTCTGCATGTAGCGCGTCGTCCGGTGCTTCTGGGCGAAGGCTGAAATGGGCATCGTCTCGTTGGGCTCGTTGCTCTGCGAGGCGGACCGTCAAACAAACAAAAAAAAAAAACATTTAAGTAATGACGAGCTGCTTAAAAAGCGGTTGTTGTACCTAGCAGAGGGGCAGAGGAGCAGAGTTGGCGCGGGAACTGTCACAATGAGCACGCGTGACGTACCAGAACTTCGTAGTCAGGCACGTTGTGTGTTCCCAGGCCATTGCGGTCAAAGGTGACGCGGTAAGTGGCCGCGCTAGTGTCCACTGCGTCGATCTGCCCCGTGAACAAGCCGTCGTGTTGGCCTCGCAGTCGAGCTATTGACACATTCGCCGTTTTTTTGCAGAGGATAAAGAATACGTGTGAGTGTGGGGGGCCTGCGGTGTAGATGAGACGGCACGTGCCGCTAAACGTTTGCATTTTCAACCGCACCCAAAACGGCAACTGTTTGTTACCAGTGACTTTGGTTCCAATGATGAGAGGAAGCGGAATTTCATCAGGAAGGTCTTTGCAGTTAGACACGTCCGATAGTTTTCTGTGCTGCAGTAAGCGCATCTTCTGTCTTTTCTGCCGCAGCGCCGTCCGCTCCTCGGCAAAGAACGCCGACGAGCACCTGGGCAAATAGTAGCAAACAATTCTTGGCTCCAAAGACAAGGTGGAAATGTGTTGCTAGATCAGAGGCTTAGAGGAGCGACAATGTCAGGGGCGGGGTGGTGACTGATGTACCGTCTGGGTTTCCCCATCAGTCTCCGGATGGTCCCCCATTCCACTCGCGTCAACTTCCTGGTTTTCAAGGTGGGGAAAGATTCCTTCAGACACAGACAGAACTCATTGTCGCCCTCAAAAAGAGGCCTGCAATGCAAATTTAGAAAGGGACAAAAAAAAAATTCCGTACAGCATCACAAATGCATTTTTCATTTGAATGCTAATTAGAATGAGAACAAAAATAACGTGATCATTTTGTTTGCGGGTTACTGATGAGTTTACCTGTCGATATTGGAATAGAACCATTCGTAGATGCACCACTTGTGAGCTTTGGGCAGCTTGAGGAGGTTTCTTAATCGCAATCCTATTCTCTGCGATGACTTCTTGTCAGGGGTCACCACACTGGAAAACTTCTGCAAAAAAAAAAAGCAATGGTTGACCATTACAGATGAGGTTTGTATGAACAATTTGAAGCATGGAGCATGTGTGGTGTTCTTATTCCAAACCTGTGGTGTGGTGCTGACCCTCTGGCTCCTTCGCGGTGATCTGGACGGGGGACGCTGCGGTGCATAATCATCCTCGTACCGACTCCTCTTGGAGCCCCGGGTGGGCTGTGAAGGCAAACGGGGAGGTTTACAGTGAGGATTGCGGCATATTTTGCGTCATATTTTTTATAATAGCAACCCAAATGTCTTGCCGTTTCCATGGTGAGGGTGGACTGGCGTCCCCTGGTGTTGTGAGCTCTTGGGAAGGCATTCTTTTCATTCAGAGTGTTGGACAAACTTCCTTCTGTGACGAGGACATTTGAAGAATGAGCAAGTCATTCAGAATTGATTAGCAGGGCTTTCCGTGGTTCTTTTCAAGCAGGTCAAGAATAAAACTCTTAATTGGTCATTTCCAAAATGATTTGTTGCAGACAGTATCGAAATGAGTTAATCGATTGCTTCCACAAATAAACGTCTCACAATTCTGCGGTGGTGGCTCAACAATGGTTCACAATTATTTTAAATGGTTTTGCTGAAAGTGAAAATCCGTGAATTGAAATAACTCATCTTGAGTAATATTGTGCAGCACACATTGTTGAGCATAGAGTAAAAATGAGACAATTTGAACATTTTTGGGGCAGCATGGCTCAGTGGTAGAGTGGTCGTTTCCCAACCCAAAGGTTGGTGGTTCGATCCCCTGCCATTGCAACCACGACAAAGTGTCCATGAGCAAAATTCTGACCGCCCACTTGCTCCTGGTGCTGAGTCACTCCAGTAGGTGAATGAAGTAACAGTGTGAAGCGCCGAGGTAGAAAAGCGTTGTATGAGTGACAGCCCATTTAAAACAAAAACTATCTTTGATATGTTTTTCAGAGCTCTTGTTTGTTTTTTTTGAGTGGTTTAGTATTGCTGTTTAATAATACGTGCTTTCATCCAATTATGCAATTAGAGGAGCCTAACCAAGAAATGAGGAGAATTATACACACTGTACCTCGAGTGCATTTTGCAATGACACATATATATATTATCTTGAAACAATACAATGCTTGCAAACAGCTGCTATTTAAACAGTACGGCTCGGCTCGCCCCCAGCGAGGCCTACGCCGAGGATCGAGCTGTCAAACACGGGTAACGTTACGGCGACAGCTGGGTGGACAACCGAGACCTTCCTCCGGTGTGTGGACAGAATACGCCGATTCAAATTGCTGGCTGATACGTGAACGCCCATAAAATTAATGTATCAAATTTAATGACACGGAGACAATAAAACATAAAACTTGATGCGAGCACGAGTAGCACAGTGAGCTAACCTTACTATGCGTGAGTGTTTTGTTCCCACTCCCGGGAGGCTCCTTTTGTTATTAGCGGGTGCTAACTAGCAGCTAAGCTAACGTTATTTGTTTACTCAGTGCAAGTGCAGGAAACTTGACAAACTCCCCGGTTAGCCTTCGTTAGCCTCTCGTGCTAATCAGGGTTAGCCTGATCGACCCCTGGGTAAGAGACCGGTGATGTCTCGAACTTTGTGGGAAAGAATTTTTTTTTTTTAAGAGTGGTCTCCCTGGTGTGTTGCGGGGGGGGTAGTAACGAAGCGAAAGTGGGTAGAAATGGACGTTGTTTTTACTCACTCTCGTCCAGCAGCTGGTCCATCTCCGCCATCTTGCATGAGCCGCGCCGCTTTTTCAAAGAGGTTGTCAAAATGCATTCTGGGTTGGGAGTCGGGACGCTGCCTCAAGCCGAGGCCGACTTCCCTACTTTTTTTAAAAAGCTTTTTTTACGACTATATATGGATAATTGGACTTCAAATATTCAAATGGTATTATTTGTTAAAACTAGTAGAAGTTTAAACTACGTGAATGCTTTATTTAAATTTTTTTTTTAATCAATTAAAAAGGCACTGTAATGTGTTGTGTGGGATTGTTTTTTATTTTTTACATCCTCCCAAAAGCGCTGATAATTCATATTTGGCGTCACTTGGGGGTTTATTCCGGAAATAAAGAGGAAAATTACCAAAATAGGAAAAAAAAAACACTATTGAAAACAAGTAATTCTGCAAGTCTGGGAGTCCAGGGCCATGAGTGCCAATTACAATTTTTTAATTGTATACATAAATGAAATCAATATTTTATTTTATTTTTTTACTAAATGCACTAAGGAGTGGTTGACCGCCCACTTGCTCCTGGTGCTGAGTCACCCCAGTAGGTGAATGAAGTAACAGTGTGAAGCGCCGAGGTAGAAAAGCGTTGTATGAGTGACAGCCCATTTAAAACAAAAAATATCTTTGATCTGTTTTTCAGAGATGTTTTGTTTTTTGTGTGGTTCAGTATTGCTGTTTAATAATACGTGCTTTCATCCAATTATGCAATTAGATAATGATTAAAATACACAATTGTAAACATTTTATAGCTGGAGTTGGAATCAAAGTTAATTGAACAGTCGAAAACTAATTACTTAACAAATTGACAGCTATTTTGACAATCGATTAATTATTTAGAGGTGTTTAACTTAAATCTGGACCAAATCTTCAGAATGTTGGCTTGTAAACAGTAAATATTCCAGCAGACTAATTACACGTTATTTCCATATTGTATCAATAAGATTGTAAACAGAAAATAAGCCACATACCTTTTAGACTGACAAGTGCTTCTGCCGAGGAGCCTAACCAAGAAATGAGGAGAATTATACACACTGTACCTCGAGTGCATTTTGCAATGACATCTATATATATTATCTTGAAACAATACAATGCTTGCAAACAGCTGCTATTTAAACAGTACGGCTCGGCTCGCCTCCAGCGAGGCCTACGCCGAGGATCGAGCTGTCAAAAACGGGTAACGTTACGGCGACAGCTGGGTGGACAACCGAGATCTTCCTCCGGTGTGTGGACAGAATACGCCGATTCAAATTGCTGGCTGATACGTGAACGCCCATAAAATTGATGTATCAAATTTAATGAGACGGAGACAATAAAACATAAAACTTGATCCGAGCACGAGTAGCACAGTGAGCTAACCTTACTATGCGTGAGTGTTTTGTTCCCACTCCCGGGAGGCTCCTTTTGTTATTAGCGGGTGCTAACTAGCAGCTAAGCTAACGTTATTTGTTTACTCAGTGCAAGTGCAGGAAACTTGACAAACTCCCCGGTTAGCCTTCGTTAGCCTCTCGTGCTAATCAGGGTTAGCCTGATCGACCCCTGGGTAAGAGACCGGTGATGTCTCGAACTTTGTGGGAAAGAATTTTTTTTTTTTAAAGACTTGAAATTAAATAGAGGAGGCGGTCACCCTGGTGTGTTGCGGGGGGGGTAGTAACGAAGCGAAAGTGGGTAGAAATGGACGTTGTTTTTACTCACTCTCGTCCAGCAGCTGGTCCATCTCCGCCATCTTGCATGAGCCGCGCCGCTTTTTCAAAGAGGTTGTCAAAATGCATTCTGGGTTGGGAGTCGGGACGCTGCCTCAAGCCGAGGCCGACTTCCCTACTTAGACTGTGGTTTTGAATTGTAATGTCACGATTCACCACTAGGTGGCAGACATGGCTTAGTTGCGCTTACACAGGGTCTTATACTGCCCGACACTACATGAGTAGGCCTCATAATTTTTGTGGATTTGGAATGATATGGAGTACATAGTACCTCACATATTTAAATTAGCATTTTTGTCTTACATCTGGTCAGGAAGTGCGTGGTCATATGGAGCCAGCAACAAGTCACCCTGGTTAAGTGATGACCAACCTCTTTGCCATGAAAGATAATCATGATGATCCAATTACACTAAATTGAGTCAAAAATGTTTTTTTGTAACACATCTTTGTTCCTCTATGCGAGCGACGTATACTACCAGACAGGAATAATTAAACACCTCCACTAGATGGCAGATGGGGGCACAATTAACCTGTTTATCCACCTATAGCTGCTCATACAACAAAATGTGTTCAACTAAATAGACCCACATACGCAGTGGCCCATGGGTCTGTCCTCCAGCTGGCCAGCGAGGCACCATGCGTCATCATTTCTGCATTTTGCCCAAATGGCGCGCGCCTTGACACGCGCTTTGTGGAAACGCCCCTCCCATTATTCATCACAAGCCTCGGCACATTTTTGGCTCATCACTAGTTTAGAGCCAAAAAGGTGAGAATTGTGTACATCTCCCAATATTTATGGATCTAACTGTCAATGACATATGGAACACAGGATATTGCTGTTTGGAAAGAGCATTTTATTGTATTTGTTTTGCTAGAGAAATGCACGAAGAGAGAAAAACAATCAAAAATATGCTAATATATACATGTCTAAGGGGGTTCCGTGCAGTATTTTAAAATGAAACCAGGCCAGTAGATGTCAGTCACAAATCCCACTGAAACCAGGGGAAGGGAACCATTTGTCATTTCAATGTGGATTATTATATCTGATGACCATTTACGGGTACAGTGTTTTGAGTTTTTTATTTTTTATTTTTAGGGTGATTTATTTGTTTTTGTCAATTGCGTGGTAGGCTATCTGATATGCTCTCACCTGTTTCCCACTCCTTCCTGAAACCTAGCATTCTAGTTCTCTTTTCGACAAGAAATAACACAAACCCACATTTAACTGGGCTTTCCACGTACTAACGGGAGACAAAGTGAGCTAGCAAACCTGCCGACGAAGTAGCATAAAGTGACAAAAGAATTTCGGAATCACAGCGAGGCCCCTGGACGAGATGGCGCTCCCGTTTGCGCCGCTCACCACAAGGATGTTTGGTAGTTGAACTTGATCTTCAGGAGATACTTGAGATTGATTTGGGCTACGTCGTACACGATGTATCTGTGGCGACGGTTAAGGAAGACGGACGGGGTAATAATAATGATGAGACCAAAAGGCCAGCATGCGTTGCATCGACCGAAAGGATACTCGTTGTACAGGAGACTTGCGTCGTCAATGTTGGTGTTGGCTCCTTTTCCCAGAGGCACTTGGACGCCATCTAAAGTGGTGGTGGCGCTCGATTCCGGAGCGGTTCGGCCCAAACCTGCAAGGTAAGACGAAATAAGCAAGAAACAATTCTTGTAAAATCCCAAACTTTTTGCTCATCATTCATAAAAAGGCAACTTTTTTTTCTTGCGATTTACAAGAAAGTAAAATTTAAAAAAAAAAACAACATTATTTTCTTAAGAATTTAATTTCCAGATTTTTCCTCAAACATAACACATGTCCTAAATTGAAAACATTGTCATAGAACCTTTTTCTTGTAATATTGCAACTACCCAAAATGTAAAAGTTGCATAATTAGGATTTAATCTTTGTAAAATTGCTTTTTTTCTCTCATTACTTTCAACTTTATTCTCATGTAAAACATTTTTTTTCATACTTTGTGTTAAAGATAACTAATATAATAATAATATAATATAATATAATAACAACAAAATATGAAAATAAATATATTTTTTTCATACTTTGTGTTACTAAAGATAACTAATATAATAATAATATAATATAATATAATAACAACAAAATATGAAAATAAATATAAACATACACATATAAAAATTAAATTTTAAATCTAAAAATAATAATTTATATATATATATATATATATATGTGTTTTTAAAATAATAATAAAACTTTACTAAAAACAATAAATACATAAAAATATTTGAGCATTGCAAATAAACTACTTTGTGAGCACCGCACCTTTTACACTGTGTTTGCCCTTTGGCAGTTTTGTGATGTGGGAAGCCTTTTTCAGTTCATGCCTGGAATAAAGAAAAGATAGATGAACACAGTTAATATCATCCCTTTACTTTCATTTGTGGCAGAGGTCCAAGTAATCACTCACATATTCCCGAGGGCTACTTCTGCGAGCAGCAGAAGGCCAACGGGGTCCGACTGCGAGGTGTGACAGTAGTTGGCGCTCTTGGACACCATGTCGGCAAAGTACACGCCTTTGCCGAACATGTAACCAGTCTACAGACACAATAAAGCGCAACTTGATTTGAAATGATGCTTCTCAAGAAGAAGATGTGGACTGATTGATGACCAGGGAGACGGAAAAAAAAATAAAATAAACACTCACCACTGGGGCCTCCGGAGGGGCGATGCGAAGACCCTGAGAGAGGATGCCGGCGTAGTTGGTGGTCCGGGAGCCGTGCCACAGCAGCTGCCGATTGTGCAGCTCCTCAAAGGGTTGGAAGCGCTGGCGTTCTCCCTCGCGGTTGATTTTGAAGATCTAAAACCACAGTCATTTCACTTTGAGACAAGATTTGGTCTTATAAAATGAGGACATTTTTCCTCGTAAAACGAGACATTTGCAATTTCTGTAGAAAACTTGATTTTTGGGTAAATGAAAATTTTTGGCACGTTGAATGTCATTCCAAAGGTGAACTGAATATTCAGAGTTTGGTACGGGAAGAATATGAAGCTGTTTTGTTCCATGTGTCATTTAGGAATGAATGAGGATTTTTGTTTTTTTTTTTTTGTAGACACTTTATTTGGGAAATTGTTGAATTTTTTTGTTTTCAAAATTTTTGAAATTGAATGAGCTGAACATTTTGAATGCTGTACAACATGACATTTATTCATGTCATTTGGTGATGTTTTCTTGTAAAATTATGACATTTTAATTTTTAATTTGTATCTATTATGACATTATTCGACATGAATTGACTTTTTTTCCCCAGTAAAATTACAGCTTAGTATCGCAATAGTACAACTTGATGTGGGTAAAATTGGAATGTCACAACTTTTTTTTTTCCTCTCATAATTTTCCAACACTGTGCAATGTTACATAATTGGCATTTCCGCCTGAGGGCGACTTACCTCTTGTACTTCCAGTGTATACGTGTTGTGCGTGGCGGCGTGCGTGTTCTTCACATATTCCAGAATGACGTCAGCCTCCTGCGTGGCCTTGTCCACAACCTGAGAAACATAAACCACCCCAAAAATAAATAAACATTTTGAAAAGTGTAACATTCTAATTAAAGGAAAAAAAAAAGTGGGTAAAGCATCCCGACCTCAATCTTGGTCTTAAGTTTCTCATAGTTGATATCGATGGGGTCCCTCTCGTTGTCCTGCGCTCCTCCTCTCAGCAAACTGTAAGCCACTTCAATGTCCAACAGGTTGTCCAGCATCTGAACTTTAGCCTGGCAGGTGGACATCGATGAACATTTCAATTCCTGTGCCGGTGCTGTGTCAGTGCAGATCTTGGGGGGTGTCACACGCGCATACCTGAATGTAGTCCAGGTTTCTGAGCAGCGGAGGTTTCTTCATGCCAAAGTCGTGTGGTATCAGCGTGTAGAAGCGATTCGACAGATCCAAAATGTGCGAATCGGGCACACAGTCGGACACCGCCTAAATCAAGGAAGCACGTAGCAATTTTTGCAATGTGTTTTCTTAATAAGGAAAACAGCACTCTATATTGTGTGTTACCTATTTTTTTTTAAATAATACTGAATCTTCTATTTTTTTGGGCTTGTAATATGTAGAACATACCACCACTTGTAGCAATTCTGCGGGAACAAAAATCTGGATTATTTTTTTTTTTCCTCAACTGACCTGCTGCACTTCCGTGAGAAGAGCATAAGCGCTCTGAATTTGCCTCTTGCTCAGCTTTCCCAGCGGCATCTTCTGGAGGTCAATCTGAAAACAGGGACGGGAAAAACAGTACCTTGGAGATGTGCCTCTACCCGTGCATCACTTTGAGCATACCTCAAAGTTCAAAGTGCAAAGCCTACCTCAAACTCCACCATGGCCTTCTTCATGCTCTCCACGTCAAAGATCTGTTTGATCAGATCCTGGACAGGTTTGGCCAGCTTGGACTTGGTCCCCGCCGTGGCCGTCAGCCTCTTTACGGCTTCTTCGTCCTGCAATTCGATAAGACTGTAAATTCCAACAGGGGAATGCACGAGTGTGGCTGTGTGTGTCTGTGTTGGGGCCAACCTGTCCATAGTCGATCTCCAGCGGGTAGAACTTGTTGGGGTACTTGGTGAAGTTGGAGGCGCCCCATTCGTTTCCAGTCTTTTCCTTGTACACCGACAGGAAGTTGTTGAGCGCCGAGTTCTTATCGCCGATTTTGTCCAGCTTGTTGCCCCCGATGGTGGTGCCCACTCGACCCCACGAACGGAACACCCAGTACCTGCGCAGAAGGTAAAATCAGCATGGGAAAGATGCATTCATAATGAAATGAAATAAAATGTCAAGAATGAAACAGTTGGTGCGTCATGATTCAATCATTGTGGCGCCTTCTGTTGTGCGCAACTTGTCCACTGGGCGGCACTATAACACAGACCCACAAACGAAGCGTTTCAATTAGGTACTGTAGGTGACTCAATAATGTGCAGAAATATTAGCAGTTTTCAAAAAAGATAAATGCATATTGTTATATTGGCCTGTCTATGTGTTGATATACCCTTTCAAAATTCCCCTGAGCAACGCCGGCTCGCATTCGCATGACCGTGAACGCATGTTCGGTAACCTTTTCTGTACGTCGTCCTCCAGCAGCTGCAGTTTGTAGTAGGAGTTGGTTCCCCGCATGATGTCCACCAAGCCCAGTGTGGCGCTGTACATTTTACCGTTTTGCTCCAAAACGTGAGCGCTGTTCTCCAGACCTGAATCAATTCATAAATATTCATCAATTCACCTTCAAGTTCCAAGAAGAGGAAGAAGGAAAACAATGGCGGTGATGTGGTCTTTTCAGGCTACCTGAGTCTGGATCGACAGCAGCGCCTCCTTTGACCGTCAGCTTCATCTTCTTGGCTTTGCTCTTACCTGGAATAGAGACCATGTTTAAATAACTCGTTAGGTAGGTTATGATGTAATCACCATTGATCATTCTGTGTCCAAACTGATGATGATAAAAGTGTGAAAATGGCCTTCAAATGTCACAGCAGAGTCGATATGATGACAACATTGTACAGACCGAACCACATCGTCGTTGTGCTCTTGGGAAGAATGTTCCAATTGAGAAAGAAAAACATTGAAAATGTACTAAACCGTGGCCCCCAAACGGCGATGTGGTCCGTACCACGTCTCTAATGAGCGTTTTACCTTCTTCCTCCTTCACTCTGCCAGTGCTCTTGGAAGCAGCCATCGCGCCCGACTTGGAGGGCGCCGGGGCGGGCGCCGACGGGGGGGCCTCCACTTTGACCTCAGCCCCCCACGGGGAGATGGCGTGCAGGGAGACGAGCTCCTGGAGGGCTTTGCCCGACGACTTGATGTCGGTGAGGAAGTCCTCGGAGACCACGCGTACGCCCGCCTCCTTGGCTTCCTCCATTTTCTTGCCCATCTTCTCCACCTCCTCTGCGAAGTGTTACATCACTCATTCGTTCAACAAAATGGGAGTTGCTGCGAGTGTGTCGCGGGGGTTTCTCACTCTTGGTGCTGATGCAGAGCGAGGCCTTGTTGGCCGCGGTGCAGATCTTTCCCCCCAGCTCCTCCACGGCCGCCTTGATGTCGTCTTTATTTTTGGCCAGTTTGCCAACAGTCAACACCTTCATGCTAGTGAGAGGTTTGTCTGTAGTACAAACATTCCAAACACGAACGGTTAAGATCACTGAAGTTCCTGAACTGGATGTTTGGACTCGCCACTCACCAGGGGGTCCGCCCTCTGGTAGCGGCTTAGCGGGGGCGCCGGAGGCGCTGGCCAGAGGCTCAGCTTTGACGGCGAGCTGGCTTGGAGCGGGCGCCTCCTTCGGGTAAATTCTATCCTGACGCTTAAACTTGAACTTCTTCAGGAAGGGAACCTCATGAAATTCCTAAAACGGGAGATGACACGGTCATGTGGTTGTTACGTATGAGGAGGAGGCATTCACACTCGCACAACAGCATCGGAAGCTCATGCGAAAGCCACCATTCTTTTCTCATAAGGCTTTGCTTGTAATATTTATCTTTATTCAAATAAGGTTTGAATTTTTATTGCATGCTTGACTTGGAAAAAAATGACTGGCAGTTGTGTTTATGACCTTTGTTTCCCCTAAATTACATCTTCTTTTGTTTTACAGTGGTACCTCTACTTATGAAATTAATTGGTTCTGGAAGAAATTTCTTAACTTGAAAATTTTGTAAGCAGAGATGCATTTTCCATGTAAATGCCATAATCCGTTCCAAGCGCCCCCAAAATTTGTATGAAGACACGTTCATAGGTGGAGGTACCACTGTACTTGTACTGTTTCAACTTAATGCCCATCAGATTTGCAATGCTAATCATGTAAAATAAAAAAATAAAAAATAAAGTGGAATGAATTTAACATTTGGTGATAAACAACAAATTTGACGTCCGATTAGATGTTCACCTTTTTTGTGCTTGCAAGACTACAACTTCATTTTTGTGAAATTTACACTCAAAAATATATTGAGAATATATATATATATATATAATATATATATATTTTGTGTGCGGCCTTCAAAGAAAAAATGAGATATATTAGTTTATTGGACAGATCAAGCGTGGATTTTAGTTCATCTATAAATCCGAGTTATCTGGACAATCATTGAGGCTTGCAGTAAAGTCGTCGACTAGCCCCAGTAGCCATACCTTAGGGGTGACCCAGTCTCTCCGTGCGGGTTTCGTGGTTTTGAACACACACTTTGTCCAGGCTGAGATGTTCCCGGTGCAGTAATAAGCGTCGCCCTTGAACACCAACTGGCCAAAGCATTCCTTGCACGGTTCCAGCGCGCCGAAAGCCATTCCGTCGCCCAAGTAGTCCACCACCTGTCAATTACAGTCGGGGTTCGACCAAAAGCTTCACTAAAAATCCCTCCCCGCAATTAGATTTGTTAAAATGCGCTCACGTTGGACTCCCCGGATGGAACCTCCTGGTCGTTCGCAATGAGCAGCTCCTTCATGTCGTTGACGGAGCAATGCTTCCTCAGCTTGTCTTTAATGCCCCATATGAGCTGGCTTTGGTCCTGACAGGGCACACGAACGTACTCAGATGGGGGTGGGAGGGGAAATACGATGGCTGTCATGCGCATCAAAAGGAAGTCAGTGTTACCTTCAACTGCTCTTCCAATTTTTTCTTCTCCGCTTCTTCCTCCTTCTTCTGTTTCTTGGAGACTCCGTCCACCTCTTCGTTTTTGCGCTTTCTGAAAGGGAAGGGAGCTTGAACCCGATAATTTGGATTCAAATTCTGAATTTATTCAGATTCCAAAGGCAACACTAATCTAATAAAAATGTCATTAAAAACAGTGTTCTGCTTACATTTGACCAAAGTCTACAAATGGTGGCCGATTACTTATTATTAAATTTGTATTTGGTCATATAAATTATAACATTTATTATCGCAAATACTGCAAGTGGTTCTAGTTGTACTTTCCATAATATAAAAAAAACCCAAGGTTGATAAAAATAACATTATAAAAAAATAGCATTATAATTATTCAATATTTTCCAGTTTTATGTTAACTAATTTTTATAGATATATTTTATAAATATATTTTATTGATTTTAAAATGATCGTCGATTGTAAATCTTACTGATATTACATCATTCTTGCATATATTTGTAAGAGAAAAAAAACGAGTCAATTTAAGAGCTTATTTAAAAAAATCTTTGTCCATTTTGAATATTCAAGGTTTTTTTTCATACTTTAATGTGTGTATTTTCCCATCTTAAAACAATTCCTGGATTGAATGTCCATATTACAAATGTTTTTTATGTTTTATTATGATTTTGTTGAATGTATTTTTGTTATTATTATTTATTCCCCACTTTAAAATATTTTTGCTAAAATCATCATTTGTAGAATGCTGCAGTTGTTGTAAACGTTCTGGGACCCAAAAAGATATTTTAGTCCTTTTTTTTTTTTTTTTTTTTTTTTTTTTTTTAAATCGGCCACTGAATCAATAATTTGGATTTCGTACCAGAACTATCAGTCTGGCCCTACACTGTAATAATGCACGTGTCGCTGGTCTCACCCTTCTGCTTTGATTGGCGGGAGCCTCTTCTTGAGCTCCTCCTTGTCTTCGGCCCTCAGCGCGTTGAAACCCTTCAGCTGGGCGCCGCTGTACTCTGGCTTGAAATCCAGCTCCTCCCTGCAGCCCACAAAGCAGGCCGTGTGGTACCAACGGTCGATCAGGCCCAGCTGAGGCTTCTCCGGGTCCACCGTCTTCTTCGACACGCGGATCTGATCCTGCGGGTTAAGCCAGAAAATTGAATGCGCCGCTACAGGGGGGAGATCATCGGAGTTATGATGCACCGCTTTGTTAGCGATCTTACAAAATGGACAGCGAGCGCCAAAGGATTGACTCAGCCTTGATTTGCTATGTTAATGTACGGGGTTGTGAAAATAGTGGTGCACTTGGGAGTTTTTGCCACCTAGAAGTTGATTACTAAAAAAATGGAATAAAGTGGAAACACACTGCAAGAGTCAAAAGTGGGCGAAGTACATGACAAAACGCATGACAACAACCTTTTCTATTTTCATCTCGCAGCCTTTGCAAGTGCTGCGGTTGGATTTGGCGTATTCCACCGCAAAGCCGCTGAGCGTTTTCTCCCCTTGCGCACCGCCGCCTTTCTTTCCGCCTTTTCCTAAAAGGAGAAAACACCGATGAATGAGCGACCGCTTGATCGAGTGCGGAATTTCTGTGGCCATGGAATAGGGACTGGCCTCCTCCAGTAGCTCCGCCGCTTTCGATGGCCTTCTTGACTTTGTCCTGGTCTTCCCAGCGAAGGGCGGAGAAGCCATCGATGTCAGAGGGGGACTGGACTGCCGCTCGTTGCCAGAAGCAGGAGAAGTGATGCCAGTGTGGGACCTTCCCATCGAACATTGGTGACTGACACACGGAAAAGAAGCAAAGAAACCCCATAAATATCATCAGTAATCACACTTTGCATTGGATAATGTCATGATTTATTCTGTGATAGCAGATACGACACATTACAAAATCACCAGTGTGTCATTTTAAAAAAGCATCATGGGCCGTGTTAAATGTTATTTTTAGTAATATTCAGGGTTCTAAATTACCTTTTTTTAACACCAGCCAGTGTGGTTGGTGACTCTTTACTAGCTAATCAGAATTTCAATCAGCCAATTATTTAAAAAAAAATGTTTTTCCTCACAACTTTAGTTCCGCTCTTCTTCATCTACATCACTCACACACTGTTTGTTGTTGGTGTGAAATACAGGCATTCACGCAACCAAGGTTCATCATTATGGCACATTACAACATCGTATTTATTGTAAATATTGGAGTCACCACCAGTGGTACAAATGACACAGAAGAAACCCTAGCGTAGAGGAGGCAGGGGGAAAAGTGCCAGCTCTGCTGATTGAACGATTCATGATATGTATTTTAACTGCAGTTGCAGCGTTGTGCCATTATGGTAACAAGATCATGCTAACAGTATCACTCTTATTTTGGTAGATATTTTAGCAAGCATCATGAAAGTTGCCATCTTTGATTTGCTTTCGCGGGCCACATAAAGTGATGTGGCGGGCCAGATCTGGCCCCCGAGCCTTGAGTTCGACACCAGTGCAAATCGACATGATTCGCGATATATGACGCAGTATCGATACTGTGAATCCGCAAGTGAATTCGAATAACTTACTCAGTTATTTTGGTACAGAATTGCACTGTCGATCGTTTTAATATATGTGTTTGCTTTTAAAAACATGCACATGAGCCAACATGAAGCATCCATCATAGCAAACGATGCCAGCCTTGAAAAGCTAACAACGGCTTCCGCGTACCGTACATCATGCCGCAGTTATACATTTAAACTCTTTTAACGGGACGTAAGGTGAGAAAATGCGAGCTTTATTCAAATATAACGCCTCGCGTTGTTGTCTATTTATTTACAACTATTTTTTACTTGACGTTAGCCACATAGCTCGAGTATCTTTCATCAAAGAAAAGCGCAGAGGACGGTGCTAACCTGCACCATGATGGCCATTCGGAGCGAGTCTTTGGCGATGTTTTCCTTGCACCCCTTACACGATGCACGGCCGCTCTTGGCGTACTCGGCCTTATAGAGCTTGTCCTCTTGAGAGTCAGCCATTTTCGCTTTGTGTTGTTTGGGAAAAGGGGGCAAAAGAAGAGCAAAAAAAACACCAAAAAAAGTTTATTCTCCGACAGACAACAATCACAATCAGAGCGGCAAAGCCCGCGTGGTGGCCTGCTCAGAGAGGGTATGGCGAAAACAGGAGGGCTCATTCGCGCTCGCTTTGCTAACACCCAGAAGAAACGCCAATGTGCTGTTCTGTATTTGCACTGTGAAACGGAACGTTTTGTCAAGTATTTTCTCGAATTCGTAGCTAGTGTTATGGTAAGTTACGCAACATAAATATTTCGACTAGTTCAAGATTAAGTTCGCTTATATGAGCCATCTTGATAGAATAGACGATGAAAGCTGCAGACAACACTAATCGACTTGAGAGTAATCGTTCAGAACCTGCAGGAGTAATGTGCGCAATTAGTTTTTATCAGTCTGGGAAGCATCACAAACAGAAACTACTGCAGCGCTTGCACGTTTGCACTACAGAAACAAACGAAATAAATGTAATCATTGTATCGACTTTATTAGCATAACACTAGTGGGTTCAGTTCCAGATACAGTTCCAGAATGATACGCTTTCAAAATATAAAAAAGCATATGTAAATATGCATACATAAATCCAAATTATACAAATAACAATAAAAACACATTGGGGCTCCGACTAACAATTATTTGAATGACACTGGTCAAATGTTTACAATTTGTTTTTCTAATGACATGCAAGTAAACTTCACCAGATTATTTTATTGCACTGATTCCGATGCAGCCCAAGTTTTTTCTCAAGCACATCAGGTTTTCATAATAATAATAATAACAAACATACAATCCTGTATTCATGTATTAAAGGTTATATTCAGCTCAAAAACCTGATGTACGAGAAAAAGTAGACATTTTTAAAATCAGCATAAAAAATACATTTCAAGACATATAAAGCCCTCGCCAATACAAATTAACTGTTGACCAATGTAATCAATAAATAGTCAATTAATCGATTTATCTGATTGAAAAATCATGCTTTCATTTTCATCCATTTATTCAAAAACGTGACATTATTCCAATTTGACAGTGTGGGAATTGCACAAACATATATTAATTATTATTCTCTGATTTGGTCCATAACATGTTATAAAATAAGCAAAAGTATTGATCATTGTGGGGTGGCACGGTGGATGACTGGTTAGCACGTCCGCCTCACAGTACAGAGGTGCAGGGATCAATTGTGGCTCCGGCCTTCCTGTGTGGAGTTTGCATGTTCTCCCTGTCCCAGTGTGGGTTTTCTCTGGGCACTCCTGGTTCCTCCCACATTCCAAAAATCCAAGTTAAAAATACATACTGAAAAAGATGAACCATTTAAAAAACTATCTACTTCACTGAAAATCTTAGAGAGGTTGTTGTGGTTGTTTTGAGGTATGCTGTATTTTGCCTTATAGGTATCAAACCCTGATGAAAAAGATTATTGATCTTGTAAAATTGCCAATTTCTTCATTGTAACAATTCAAAGCACTGTAAATTATGCTCTCTGTCACTATTTTTGGGTTGTCCCATCAGCACTTGAGGGTGCAGGTTGACAGAGTGAACCCGCCATTGGTCTCCCTCAGCTTCTCCTTGTGTCTCGCCTGGACCAGACTGAACACGATGCCCGCCAGCGTCATGCGTCCATCCATCCTGCCCCCTGGGCGTCCGTCCGTCGCGGCGTTGACCCTCTTGCTGCGCATGGTGCTGATGAAGTAAGTACGGACCTTGCCACGGCACTCGCTCACCTGCAAGGACACACCATCCATCGGAGTTAAGTCATGCATCAGTCATAGATCGACCTCAGGGTAGTGGACACTAAATACGCCACGAGATGGCCCAGTTGGTTTGGTTTTCAAAGTCAGTCTTACAATATATTGGCCAAGCGGAAGGAAATAATCAGTCAGTCAGTCAACCAGTTAGTTAGTTTGTTAAATTAGTTGGTCAAGTCAGTTAGTTAGTCAGTAAATCAGTTAGTCAACCGGTCAGTTAAATGGTCATTCATTCAGTTATTTGATCATCTAGCTAGCTAGACAGTCACTCGGTGAGTCAGCTAGTTTTGAATTGCCATTACCATTAAGATTGATTCGTGTATTTCATCATCCCCATACCTTCCTGTGAATAATATGCCCCCTTATATAATACGGGCTGTCAAAATCACACTTCATAAGCATTTTTTTTCTTTCTTTGTATAATACGGTACTGGTAAACCTTGGGACTGGTAGACACCCAGACACAGTTCCTCTATCAGGCTTTTGGCTTTTAAACAGACGGTGTTGTACAGCACTCACCCCCTTGACAAAGATTTCTCCACGCAGCTCCAAGACAAAACCCCACTCTGCCAGGATTCTCCGGGTGGCCTCTGGCACCTGGATGCGTCCGCTCACCCCCGTGCTGTCCATGCGGCTGGCCAAGTTCACCGTGGACCCCCAGATGTCGTATTGCGGTTTGCTGGCGCCGATCACACCCGCTACCACCGGCCCGTGGGCAATGCCTAATGGAAAAATCATTATCCTCAGACAAACTACTATAGGCCACCGCAGAAGCTTTTTAAAACTTTATTTATTTTATTTTATGGTCAACTTCCTGTCTGAGGAAACACGTGAGAGTGAATTGAATCAAAGACAGTGCGCATCCACATGGTACGCTATTTACCGACACGCAGTTGAAAGTCTTTGGCAGAGTGCCTGTTAATCTCCTTCAAAGTCTCTTGCATTGCCAGTGCAAACAGAACCAGTTCGCTCAAGTGATTCCATTCGTCCATAGACGTCTGCAAGGGAGGTTGAAGGAGAGTCACACACAAGCACATGGAGAGGAAATTTAATGTGGTGGGGGGGAGGGGGGGTCTCTCCCACCTGTTTGTCTGGCGCTAAACCGGAGGCGGCCATATAGCAGCTCCCTATGGTCTTTATCTTCTCCACATAATGGAAATATGACTCCTCCAGCAACTGTAAAACAAATGTTTTAGTCAAGACAAAACTATACAGTGTGTCTGTTTGTATTTGTTCACACAGAACATGTATACGCCATGTTCCTGATCATTCCTCCTGTTAGCAGAATAATGCATTTGTCCGCAAGCTAGCTGTCGAGTTGGACATGAAAATTAAATAAATAAATACATAATCCCCCACCCCCAACCTCACTGTTTCGTCTTTCCCTCCTTAACTTGTGCATTTCAGTCCTGGCACGTTTTCAGCAATAAATCTTGAAACATTTAAAAATATATATTTAGAAACCAATTTCTCCCTTTAAACTTCACCCCAACCTAAACCACTGAGCCGAAACACTTACAAAACCCTAAACCTGAAATTCTAACTGCCCCCTAACCCAAAGTCAACAACCCAATAAATCCTAGGTCACTGAACCCAACTCCACCCTAACTTAACACCTAACCTCACCCAACTGTATTTAACCCACCCTCAGTACTAACCCTTCCCTAAACCTGAAAATGATCTCACACTCACCTCATCGAAGCCAGCTATGATCTCATTGAGGAGTCGGAGGCAATCCACACCTTCGTGTCTGATCTCCTTTTGCTCAAAGTACTCATTAAATCCAGCAATAGATGCAAACATTACCCCCACTTCATCATAGGACTGGGAGTAAAGCTCCTGCAAAGAAAACAACACTCTTAATTGTTCACCGGCAATTGATGAAAATCTGTAATATAGAGACCATTTAAAAAAACGGCATTGTTTTTCACACATGCTTGAAACAAAACCGTTATTTTTTTTTATTTTTTTTTTTTTGCACGCACCTCGTCATTCTTGCTGCGATCCAAAAAGTGCCGAGCCACATGCACCGGCAGAATATTGTGCAGGAGACATTCATTGTGCTCCCGCAGCTCCCTCATATCCTCCACTTCCTGCTGAGCCTGCAGACGCCACAGAAAGTCCTGCCTGGCGGTGGCCTCCCACTGAAGAGCAAATCCAAGTCTGACGCTCTCGATTTAATTTCGAAAGACATTGAAGATGGAGAAATCAGTACCTGGCGTCCGTTGTAAAATACTGCGACAATGAACATGACCAAGAGAAGGATGGCGATCCCTTTTCTCCTCACATAGTGAGACCTGTGCATGTATAAACAGAAAAAGAAAATCAACATTGGATTGATATAGCACCGTCCAGCACTCATAGGACACTTCATTAGGTACACTGGCGAATGGAGTCCAGTAGCTGCACCCTCGCCCAAAATAATGTTTTACAAAGAAAATAACGCATATTTATTTGACAATTATGTTCATTGTACTGTTGAAAACCCACAAAATATGATTGCTTAAAAAAATGTAACGTAGTGCTGCAATATGAGGTGAACAAACACTGGATTACAAAAATACACATACAGACTCGATGTATGCCCTGGACATCCTTGTCCTAATTCATTTGTCAAACCCAAAGAAATCCCTTTTCTGTTTAATTTTGATATAAAGAATGGTCTCATGTACAAATTATATTGTTACTATTACGCTAAACAATCAAGTATGACCTGTGCGGCATATCTTGGCGTGCGAGAGAAAGGAAGGCCAGATGGATGAGGTAGGAATAGACGGCCACAGCCAGCAGCAACACGGCCAGCTTCAGCAGGGAATTGAGACGAAGAAACACGGCGCACGTCACCATGGCGATCACACCGCTCAGCACAAACACCTGAAGAAGACAAGGAAGAGATATTTCAACTCGAAGAATCCAAGTTTGGTGTTTTTTAGAAATTCGAATGGTTACCTCAGGGTACGAACAGACGGTGAGTGAACGTGAAGCCGCGTTTGTCTTTTCCATCTCATTAGCCACTTCTGTGTCTGTGAGAATGCACCATAGCTACACGCATACCAAAAACACAGAAAATAAATGACGACCTGTTTGACTTCAGTGAAATTTCATTTCTTTTATTATTATTATCATCACACTAGATTTTTTTTTTCTACAAGCCGGTGACATATTGACTAGCATGCGCGCTGGATCAGTTTTACTGTGCACAAAAAAATTCTCTCCTCCTCTATTTGAAACAGCTGGTGCAGTTTTACGTGGTCTCTCACAATGTCCGTAGAGGCTAAACCAAAGTTGATGACCACAGCGGTGAGGGTGAGCGTGTTCCGAGCCTTATTGTTCTCGTGGATCCAGCAGCAGAATTGCTGCAGTGTGGCGGGGCTCCACTTGAACTCCTCCGCAAGCGCCAACAGCAGCAGCAACGTGTAGGTGAGTAAAAACAGGGAAAACTGCAGGATGGCTGGAAACAGTCTACAAAAAAAAAAAAATGATGCAAAGCAGCTCATAGGAATGAACATTTTAAGTGCAGAGAGAGTTGGCAATTCCCTACCTGGGCGCCGGGATGAGGGCCTGGGCGGCCATGACAAAGAGGAGCAGGATGAAGGAGCAGAGCAGGTTGGAGTTGAACATTTCGTCTCTCATCTGGGAAAACTTAAGTCATTCACAAAAAAGGGTTGCATGTCAAACATCATTAGCCGAGACTTTTACCATACAAACTGTGCGCTACATGGACCCATGAACTCAAGAGCCTATAAGTCCAAAACTCTTTCCCATGGAAGCAAGCGATTTGTCAAAATTTGACTGGTGACCACCTCCTGCCCCAAATCAGCTGGATATTGTCTTTGTAAGATTGCGATTCAAGATTCAACAACAGTCAACATGTCTAATTAAGGTTCTGGTGTCCCACGTCTTCCTTTGTGGTTGGAATTAGGAACTGACTTCAGACATAGACTTGATTTCTTGAATATCAAGTCTCTGAAGGAAAAACTCTTGGATAACGATGGGACAACATCTTCTCGAGGGGGCTTGTAACTTTAATACTGGTAATTTGCAAACACTCTGTGCCATGTGACAGAATTTCAGGAGCCTTGATAAATAGAGATGGTTGGAGTCAGAAAGGGCTATAAACGGATATAGTTGGTAACAGCGACATGACAGTCCAAAACAGCATCTGCATTCCAAAAAACACCGCCCCCATCGCGTCTGACAATCTTACAATCAAAAGCATTGTTTTCTAAAGCTACAGCCTTACTTTGTCCTCAACGTGTGCGTCCTTGAATACCAGCGAGAAAGGAGTGATGTGTTCCTTATGCATCCGCTCGCTGCTGCGAACCTCGATGGCGTGTTTGATGCGCTCGTTGATTTCTTTGGAAGTGGATGGCCATATGTTGGGCAGCGATCCATTTGTGAATGAGGCCAAGATCTGCAACGAAATATGAGATTGAGCAGATTGGCGCAAAGAGGGTTGTGAGGCCACCGGTGCTGGAATCAGAACGTACACTATTCATGTCAATGGCACTGCCAAATGGAATTTCATGGGCTCGACTTGTTTTCTGGACGTTGCGAGGCTCGTTGTGGTAAACTATATGTATGTCCTCCTGAGGACAAATGAGAAACGTGTCGATGTTGTGTCGCCGCAGGAACTCGTTCCTGTCAGCGCCATGTCCAGCCTCTGTCTTGTAAGTGCCTTCAAGGCAGTCCAGAGTAGCCTTGGAGATGTGAATGCGCCTATTGAGGGAAAGAAAATCACCAGTGAGCTACCGTGCTTCCGATGAATGCCCTCCAATTGTACCGGGAAGGAGTAACACAATAAAACCCCTCACCCTGGTATTCCACCTGCCTCCAACATGTTAGCAATGCCCACATCCCAAGACCAAACATCAAACTGCCATTTCTGTAGGCCGAGCACCCCACACAGGACGGAGCCTGAATGGATGCCAATCCTCATGTCCATGTTAAAGTTGAGCTGCTTGCGGACAGAACTGATTGGCGAGATGGACTAGTTGTTCAAGACTTGTTTCAGTAGCAACAGGACGTGACCAATAACTCGTGATACTTGGACTTACCGTATGGTGTTGATCATAGCCAGCCCCATTTCGACACAGTGACGGGCGTGGGCACGCTGAGGTTCTGGCACCCCGGACACACAATAATAACAGTCCCCAAGTATCTTTATTCGTAGGCACTGGTGCTCCTGTCACAAAGAAAGACTAAGACAGCTAAATAAATGGAAGCAAAACATGAGAAAAATTGGGCTCAGGTGCATACCTCGGCCAAACGGTCAAATCGTCCAAAGAGCTCATTGAGGGTTCGAACCAAATCCTGAGCTGACAAGTTCATGGATAGCAGAGTAAAGCCCTTGATATCTGCAAAAAGGATGCTGCAGAGAAGAGAGACCAACCATAATACTTGATATACTTTAGGGAATGGATGGCAACCAAATAGGAAGTCGGGTTCTACATTTATAGATAACCAACATGCACTTTGCATTCGTTAGGACACACAATGTGTTGCGTTTTTGGACTTACCTGACATCTTTGTACTGGTGAATATAAATCTTGTGAAACTCTTGAGGAATGAGCTCATCATCCATTAAGCTCATATCAGCAATCATTTCTAAGGCTACAAACCGGGGCAAGATGGACAACACTAGACGTTCCTATCATGTAGAAATGTGAAAGAAAATTAAGGTCAAAGATCATCAAATTCTACCCCTTAGATGGAGTGTGTGTCAAATGCAGTCGTCCTACCTGTCTCTGGTTCTCTTGCTCCAGTTTGAGGCGACCTTCGATGCAACGACGTGTTTCTAAGAACACCTGTCGCTGTGAATGATCGGTCAGGTAGTGAATGAAGAATCCGGCTGTGTTCATACCCAGGTACAGAAGGCCTTTGGCAAAAACCTACAATCAAGAAAGTTTCACTGCCTTTACCTAGAAATGTCCAAAGTATGAAAAGCAAGGTTCTAACACTTGAAGAAAACTCACCTTTCTTAGAAGTACTGTATCATTCCGGAAGCATATGATCTCCACTATTAGATGCAACGCCGACGTCAGTGAACCGGCGCACATGGCCCACATAAGCGGTAATGGCAGCAGGGTGTACGTGGCAAACAGCGTGAACAAAAGGTACCACGACGGGTCTTTTTCTAGCCCGTATACCAGTCCTCCCAATACCTGCGTGGTCTGTGAGAGCCAGCTGGCCAGGCCGGTGTAATGAAGCCACCTCGGTGACATGGAGTCCTTGAAGGTTAGCACAACGAGGCACAGCGCGATGGCAAACACCATGAACGCGCACGTCAAGCAGCCTCGGAGGGGTTCCTTGACCTCCTCAGGTGCCAAAGCCAGGTACAAAACCAAGATCTGCAGTTTGGCCACGGCATCGATCACATTGGTGATGGCTAAGGAGTTACGTCTTTGGTGAGAGGAGTGTTGCTGGTAGAGTTTTTCCAGGTCTTTGGATTTGAAGGTGTGTCTCAACGTGGGTATGTAGATACCGTGAATAATGCGGCCCCAGTGCACAAAAAAGTCGGCATCGCTGGCGTATTCGTTCCCGCTTGACCCTCCAATACTGTGGCTCATGGAGCCACGGAGGTGGGCAGGGTGTACCCGAAATGTGGAGGAGCGTCGTTTGACTCCACGTGAAGCCTTGCTGCGGATCTGGCGGTTGATTTCTTCCATATAGGCATCCGTCACAAAGATTTTGCGAGCTGGCTCCACGCCGACCTGTCACGCCGAATAAGAACATGTTGATTAGTAATTCCAAGATTCTGAGGACAACTGCGGGAATAATCACTCACCTGAGCGCTAAGCTCCTGCTGGATGATGATATGCTTTACGGCATTCTGCCACAGCATCTTTTTACGCCTCAAGCCTGGCGACAGAGTGGCTGTCAGGCAGGGGGGTTCACGCAGTTCCATTGGGAAGACCGGTGTTGTCTCTGAAAAAGTCACCATGGCATGGTACCAATTTTCAGTTCCTGGCGTGGATGACGATGACCTGGATGAGGCAGAAGAAGTTTGAGTACAAAGCTTTTGGTCGAGAAAACTGCCCGTCATACATTCAAAACGCATAATGTCCACTGACACTTATGGTCTTCAATTTTGGGATGATGCACCACGATCCATTATACATACTTGACACATACTTAAAGAATAGGAAACAATTTCTTCAACTAGAAAACTGCTTTTCTATGTGTTAAGACATTGCTTGTGGAGTTCCTCACGGCTCAATACTGGGTACCAAACAGCTTATTAAACATGATTGATGAGCTTGAATTTAATAAGGAGCTAATTGAAGTCATAGTCTCAATAAATGATCATTAATTATCAACGATATGAAAACAAATCACAAATCCCGTTCAAAGTTAAAAAATAACCAATTATAATTTAGAGCATGATTACGCTGAGTACCCCTGTTTTGCACGGCGACAACCAAGTCTGCAGAAGACCAGATTGGACAACCTGGTTGAGTCCACGTGCTACCAGAAGCTTTTGAACCAATGATCTGGTGGCCAGATTTAGACATGAGCTTTCTATAATGCCCCTGAGTTAATGTCCTCCAGGTGGCTCGGGCTAGAAATGTAAACTGTGCTCACCCGTGACTCATTTGCATTGTCACCAGTGCGATTTCAAACATGATCTCTAAATATTCCCTGAAATCGGGACCAACCAGAACACTCCTATGGTGCTCTGGTATATTGCAATTTCAGGGTGCCCTACGGGAGTTCTGGTTCACATTTATTCCAGGATGTGTATAAGAACACAGAGAATCACCAGACAGGGTTCGTCCACTTCACAGAGCTAAATTCCTATGTAAAAAACTGTGATCTGATATAATTGTAGGAGACATGTATTTTCGAGGACGCATTTCTATAGATTTTAGACTGTTGAAGGGGTCCACACAAGTCACGTCCACCAAAGTCCCCCAACTGACCTGTTCTGTTTTGCATTTGGTGTATCCGTTGCTGGTGTTCAGGTTTAGCCTTGATATGGGCAGCCAGCACATAACGATCCATTTTTTCCAGATTCCGCTGCATACAATCCGTACAAAAAAGGGAATTCAGGCACAACACAGGAAGCAGGAATACGATGTTTCGATCATTCCACAGACAGGACTTTCTCCATAACGGACTAATAAAGTAGGTAAATGTGTTATCGAGAGAGAGAATGTGGAATTCTTCCGGCAGGATTGTAGATCACCACCTGCTTTGAAAGGAAGTCCAAAACTGTGAGGAAGCAGTGCAGCAGCGATGAGGAGTGTAAAGAGGATTAATTAGTGAGCAGCCATTCTCTCTGGTCTGCAACGTTCAGGCCACTGGTGCCTGGAAAGCTCCCCCTGCAACCCCCATTTATTTCAGAGAAGGCCTTTATGTGTACAAATGCTTGCGTCTGGCTGGAGCTACAGGAGACAGGACAATCAAAACTGTCGCTTCTGCACTGAAAAGTTTGGAGATAAACGTTTATTCATTGTGGCATGGCATTTATAAAAACAGATTACACAGTTTGAGGAATAGGGTACTTTTCAAGTTAAAACCATATTTTCCTAATTATGAATTAAACTTTATTACTTTGCACAATGAAGACTTGAAGAAAGAAAGAAAGTGATTCGCGATGATCTCAATGGTTGTAAGCCACTTTCAGTCCCAAAACAATCAAAGCTTCTGTAAGGCTGATCCAACAAGTTCCCATCTGTCCCAGTGTGACACTGTACACAACAGCTCAGACCAAGGCGGCTGAGAAGCGTACCTCTAAAAATAGACGCCGAGCGAGCCTAAGGCAATTAGCACGATTATTGCCGGCCGCAGCCAAATTGGTATTACGCTTGGCAAGGGTGGACAAAAGCTACATTTGTGCTCATTAGTTTAGACACTTTGGCAACATTTGTTGAATATAGGCAATTTCAGAGAATATATGATCATGGACTAGGGATGGTCGAATCGGAATCGGGCTGATCCGATCTTATTTTAGGGTATTGGGGTACTAATGGAGGCTGTCGTTAACAGTAACCGAAACTTGAGGCAAAATATTTTTAAAAATGTAAAAATCGAGCAACGGGAAGTCCTCCGAGGCAGTAGTTGGCACTATCCTGCGGCAGTTTGAAACATTGGTGAATCATCATCTGTCATTGTGTTAAATTAAATTTTATGCATCAAAAGTAGTAGTGGTATTGATAATCATACCAGTGAGTTCTCAAAGAGTGAATACTCCTACTGATATCGGTCTGAAAAAAGTGGACTCGAACATCCACAACAGGGATGATTTCATTTTTTAAATGTTGGGTTGAACCATTTCAGGGACAGCGGTTACTACAGTGGACAGTTTATCATGTTATCAGGTTACAGGTTATCATTTGGTGCATGAAAGTAATTATTGTGCTATTCTGTGAAATGCCTTACAGTTTATTTTGTTAATCACATAAAAAAAAAAAATCTAATTAGTGTTGACTAAACCCTCGTGAAAATTATGATCACAACTTTATATGTTTAATGCGGTGTAAATTGTAAATAGACCTTTCTATCATTTTTACTGCATGTCTGGACCAGCTTGTGAGAAAAGTTTAATTTTTGGAGATTTTATTTATTTATTTAATTTTTAATATGCACCAGCCGTACGTGGCCCCTGGTCCATTGGTTCCCCGACCTGTGAACTTGGCAAGCCCTGAAAGCTAATCAGTATTGAGGTGAACGTCTTTAGCTGCGCGTTAATCAGCTCACTGTCAAACAGCCTGACACTTTTGCCTCCATGAGTGTTGCTCAGCTTTGTACTTTTTAAATTTGTCTTTGGCTTTGTAAAGTTAAGGCCAAAGATGTCATTGTAGTGTATGTGGTCTGTGATAATTCACATAATGGCCCCAAATTCAGAACTGCAAGGTGGATGTGCTAATTACTCATCCACCCTGCTGCCCAATAAAGCCATTAACAAGATAAATACAGTACTGTACTGTATTTGTATGAAAACACACACACACACACACACACACACACACACACACACACACACACACACACACACACGCGCGCGCACACTAACACAAAAAAAACGAAAACAAAAACAAAAAACCCTCAATTCACGTTAAAGTTAATTTTGGTATTACCTATGTGAGAGGTAAGTGTTACTTTGTACATACAGTGCAGCAAATCTTTGCCCCCCCCCAAAAATAAAAAGAATAAAACGCTTTAAATTCTTGCACTCGGAATATTCTTTTTTTCCCTCCACAGTCTGTTTTTTTTCCTTTTGTTCCTTTCTTTTTGGCGCAAATCCGAATCGTTATTGTTCCGCCGCGACGCCGTCGTAAACCGGAACATATGTTTCACACTAAAGAACACTTCCGCAACAGCCATCCTGACTCACTGCTGCCGTCAGGTGGAAGGAAAAAAAACCTCAGCACTCGCAAGCTTGCCACTTTAATTCAAATCCGAAACAGATATGACGTGCTTATTACGTTGATGCTTCATTCACAACGTGATTTGAATTGATTTTGGAGTACTGTACTATATTTTGCACGATTTGACTTTAAATGTTAATATGCATGAACGTGAACTGCATGTATTCAAATTAGCTCCTGTCAAAGTAGTGGTGGGCTGACTCATATTTACCAGTGAGCAAGTATCACAGCTGTGTGTGCAGTTGGATCGCTTGCCGATTTTTTAAAAACTTAATTTTACATTTTCCTGGCTGGTGGAAAGTCCGACTTATCGAAGAGGAGTGGTGATGGCTCCATGGTTAATTTTCTTCATTTAATGGTGAGGAATAAATGTTGACAGTGGGTGGTTGAGATAGTTTAGTTAATGGTGGTTAGCTAACCTGATCTTGGCTGATAACAGTATCTCAGTGACATTTGATTATTTACAATTGTTCATCGTTTTAAGACGCTCGTTCTCATGACGTAGAAAGCAACGCGAAAATATGTTGAATAAACACCGAAAGTGTGGAAATGTCAGAAAAAACGACGAGCTAAACACAGCTACACATGTACTATTCAATACTGGCCCGTGTTCATTCGCAATTTCTTTCGGAATAACCTCAACCGTATCAACTTCCTTATGTGTACGCGGTGTGCGATATATATGCTCAGTTCTTATCGACGTTAGCATGTTTACATCGTCGGCTAATGTTGGCTTCCCCACAACTTCCACAGGCCAATGGACATCCCGAGGTTTTCCTGAGTGCCCAAGCCCGGGTGAAACGTCATTCAGGCGCCCGAGTGTCTCACTTCTTCCCGCCACTGTGACGCTGGAAGTAGACCTCCATCTAGCGGCTAACATCCAGCATGACAGGTGAGCAATGATGACAAGCCCAAGCCACAATATTAAAAAGCTGTCATAATTAATATCACAGCACTTCACGTCGTCCTCCGGCTTCTTCTCACATTCCCAAAAAGATGTATGATAATTTGAAGACTCTAAATTGTTCTTTCAGTGTGAATATGAGCGCTGTCAGGGTTCAAACCGAGACGCGAACATTAGAGCTCTTTGTCCCCAAAATTCCACTTCCCTCATCATGGGTGCATTCGGAAATACGCTCCGAGCGCAGTGTCTCACTCAGACAGTTTGGAAACTCTTGGAAAACATCCCCCTCCCCCAAAGGTAACCTGTATTTCAAAAATTCACCTATCGCGGGGATCATGGAATGCGAAAAGTGAGCCAACGCTCTCTCTGAAATCTTGAAAACAGTGTGTGTGCGGGCCCAGACAAAACTGTACTCATCTTTCGAAACCATACAAATTGTCGACACATTTTTCATGATGTCAAAGCTTTTAGAGCCACAGGCTTACCAATCACATGCAGGAAAAACTCTGCTTCAAGATTTGCGACTGTAAATATTGAACAGGTTGACAATTGTAATAGATTACCGATATGTGAGTACCCTTGTCTTTGAATGCCAAACCCACTGCCTGCATGTTTTCAGATGTCAGTGGGTGTGCGTACCCTGCGCTCTTTTGTCTCTCCCTGGTCCAGAGTGACACTTGGAGCTAAAGAGATGCCCATTGTATCAGTGAGATGTTTATCAATGAGTCACAGAGGAAAGCGTTGACAGAGCGAGAGAGAGAGCAAAGCTGTCGGACTAATCGCTAATCTCTCCCATTAATGCGGTCAACCTGCTTATGTGGTGAATATTAATGACTTAAGGGAAGTTGGCACGGCCGTGGGCTTTCTTGTATTATCTGGAGCAAGTTTGGTGTAGTTGAGCATTGGTTTGGCTGCCATGCCCTTGCACGTACCCGTGCCTGTCGACGTCCCGGCCTCTCAGAGGCTGTCACTGGACTGTCGCACACTTCTCGACCATCGTGTTGGCAAGGGTAAGTGTGGCGCTCTACATCCGCTGCACAGAATTGGTTTGCCTGCGTTATTGCATCTTATATCTTGCTGAGTGGTGAAGGTTTGCGAGTATTTGCAGACGTAACGAATGTTGGTCAGGGTTCATTCAAGATGATCGCCATTCGCAAATCATTTTTAATTGTCGCAAACAGTTTTTGTTGTTGCCGTCAAATATGAACATAAAGATGATAGTGATGGTGGCGGTGGTGGTGTTGATGCCGAACCCCCTCCTCCGAAAAAAAGAGCAATGAAGACATGCAACTCGAAATTTGGACTTGCATGTGTAGTACTGTAAAAACCCTGACAAAGGCGATTAAAACGAGAGAGCGAGGGTTGACTGTGACGCATATATTATTGCATATTAACCCTTTCAGGGACAGCGGTTGCGACAGTGGACAGCTTATTATTTGATCAGGTTACAAATTGCATGAAAAGTGTTCAGATTGCAAGTAAATACTCCCCCCCCACACACACACACCCACACACACACACACACACACACACACACACACACACACACTCACGCGGGTGCCCACCATACCACTCGCGCACATATGCACGCACACCACGATGAGCAACAGTCGGAACGGGCCGAAAATGAACGACAGCTAAAGATACAAACAAACAAATCTTTTTTTTTCCCCACCCATTTCTTCCTCCCACCCCTTGCGGTCGACTTGGGACCAGTTCGCTGGCTCCCGGTCGATTCTGATCGACGTATTGGGCACCCCTGCCTTAAAAGCAGAAGTAATTCGCTGACTAGCTTAGCGCTTGGCGCCGTTGTTTGCGCATGAGCAGTGATGCAGTCATCTGATTGGTTGCCCTCTATGTCAATCAAGTAACGGGATTGATGATCGGCTGACGTAATGCGTTCTGTGTAGTTAGCGCCTTCGCTTGAATGGCATCGCCACTGCCGAGGCGTTTTCGACGCTTGTCGTGTGAAAGCCCGGGAGCCGCATTGAAGCAGCCAAAGAGCCGCATGCGGCTTGCGAGCCGCGGGTTGGCCACCCCTGGAGTCGATAATCACTCCCAGGCAGCATGTGAACAACTGCTGTATTCTCTCTTGGTGTTCCCTTATGTAATCACACATTTTTTGTCGTTTGTGAGTATTTTAACACAAGATGCTTGGGACATAAATAAGGACATTTTCGGAATGGGCTAAACGCTTCATCTCATTCAAATCGACATTGCAGTGTAGAAGAATATGAATTTCAAAGAGCAAAGGCTGCAATTTTGAGAAAAACAACTGCTTCACTTCCCTCGGTTGGTAGGGTTTATTTTATCTATTGTTAAAATACACATTGGATGTATATTTGATTTATTTCTCAAATGTCCACATACGAAGCGCTTAAGACAGGGGTGCCCAACCTTTTATGACCAAAGGTTGGCAGCTTGAGGCAAGGAGATGGCGTGGGTGGGGAGTTATTGTGATACGCTGTCCTAATTTCACCCCCCCCCCACCCCATCTCCCATCTGCAAGGTACATTATGCATAGCGTGTGTGTATTTTTGGGGAGGGGGTGTGGGGGGGGGGTGAAGACAAACAGGAAAATCCAAGGTCATCCCGGCATGCTTCTGTGTGACGTCGCCGACCAGCCCCCCTTTTGTGTGCATCGACGCAGTCTCTGCACCAATCGCCGTGCGCCTTCCTATGCCTTTTAGCTCCAAGCACACGTGCATGCAGCCAGGCATTAATCCCCAAGTGTGTGTGCGCGCGTGTGTGTGTGTTCTTGGCACAACGGTTTGCGTGTGTGCAGTGCCAGCGCACGAGTGAGTGAACCTGCTGAAAGCAAACACGACCGGTGGAAGCAGCGGCTCTCCAGCGTCACGTTCGATGTACGGTAAGAATAAAATGATCGTATCTTCGATCGTGAGGATTGAAACCCCCGGCAGCCTGTTTGTCTGCATTCCCCACTTGGCGCTCTCCTCGCACATGCGTGAGTTTTACATCATGAGATCGCCGGCTCGCACAAGGACGGAATCAGCGGCTTTGAAAACTCCCAATTTGGAAGATGTATGTATTCGGTAATGATGTTTAATTTCCAGGCTTGCTCATCAGATTTTCCATTGGATGTGGCCACTTTGCCTTCCCCCCGCACTTGCATTGTGGTCAGCGAAACTATTCCAGTATGTGGATAGTAGTTAACCGTGGGCTGCTACTAAGAAGCATATGGTGCTGCTGTGTTGTTGTTGGGTTTTTTTTTTTTGTATTTGTACATTTCGCCCCTTTAATGGAGTGTCAAGTTTCTTGGCGAGCGCATCTTGGCAACATCCAGATTTAAATTGATCAAGGCGTCCGCCACCTTTAAAAAGTTCTCCACGCTGCTAAAACATTGCAGTCCGAGCGCGCCTGTTGACATCCAAGTTGTTCTAAATTTCAAAAACAAACATCCCCCGAGGATCCAATTTAAAGTGAATTAATATGTCGCAAGCCCAAACCACTGTCTGCCGTCACACAAGGGAAAGTACAAAGCCACATTTTCACATTATCGACTGTCACAAAAATGGGAAGAGTTCATCTATTGGCTGCTTGTGTAGTCTGTCCTGTGTTGAGATACGAGTTTCAGTCATCCGTGGACAAGCTCACAATGTGAAACCATGTCCCAAATCATCTTTCCCCATTGAAATGAATAGATGTGCCATTAATCCGTCCAAGCCTCCCCAAACATTCTTTAAATGTGTTTTTTTTAAATCAGGAAAATAGCACTTATTTACTTCAAATCATCATTCCCCATTGAAATGAATAGATGTGACATTAATCCGTCCAACTCTCCCCAAACATTCTTTAAATCTGTTTTTTTTTTCTTTTTTTAAATCAGGAAAATAGCACTTATATTATTTACTTAAGAAAGACATACTCTGGTAGGAATAACATAATTACATAGAATGGAGAGAATTTAACAGTTTATTGATTATTACCAATTCATTGCGGCTCCTTCTGGGGTGTGTCACATGACCACTTGGGAGCAGTATAATAAAGTCACGCAGACACAAACCAATAATAGTTTCCGAACTCCCATAGGTGACTCTGTAAACTGCACTCATATTAGTCATGCACTCATAATTTTTTTTTTTGTACAGAGGATAAAGACCTTATGCCTGTCAGTGTTTTTGTATTGTCCGTTCACATTAGTGTTTAAATATCTGTTGCTTAATTTATTGTGACGTGGCCACATAGATGCTATTCATGAAATTAAGTAAAATTAGTAAGCGTTTGGAACAAGTACGAATTGAAAGACACCAAGAAGATATTTGCAGTTTGATACGATTTAGTACGATGGTAAATGCAGTTAACCCACACATACACATGGTCCTGCTTTTGCAAATGAACGTGGAATCTGTCTTCCATTATTTACTGAAACTGGTCGGTTCGTTGTTTTTGTGCTCAGGCAGCGGTAACAAACATTGTCTAGTGCCGCTTCTATCAAATATTTGGGTATCGACTTCTGAAAATTCTAGAATTCGGACGAAAGTGCTTTTCAGTGTATTTATGTTCGCGTCCACTTGATAAAATTAGTCGCCATCAGTTTGACTCCTTTTCTGGGTCGATGGTAATCACCAGGCATTCAATTTTTGCTCTCACTCATTCGCGTCTGTGGTGTTATCTGGAAAAAAAAAGATAAAAATAGCAAGTAAGCATTTAACTGTGCATCCCCAACCTAGTTTCTGATTGATTGTGACTCATAATGTGTTGGCTTTGGCAGTGTGTCGATGGGATGCGTGAGCGGCGTCTCTCTCTCTGCCACTCACTTTGAATTAGTTCCATGCCTCGAAATGTGTACGACGAAGTGGCCACAAAAAAACTAAACAAAACACAGGCGATAGATTTGAAGTGCGCTCTCGGCGGATCGTGACCGAGACGCGTTTTTATGGATGGCAAGGATGCCGACAGAAAGTCTCATTTCATCCCCACATGTCGGTTTAGCTTTGCTCGCCACTTCCCGGCGTCAATCCCACCACCGCCACCATTATCATTATCACCATCATCTTCATCATTGTCCCCCTCCTCCTCCGGTCTTTCAATTGCTTTATAGCTTCCCACAACTTCCTGTGCCATCGTGTGTGTGTGTGTGTGTGTGTGTTGAAGTAGCCATTTGAATAGAAGACCAATTTCCGCCGAAAAGTTGAATTCGGATTCCAAAAGCCGTTTCGTGTCATTTCAGTCATCGTACAACATCGCTGCAATACTTTCCATCTTGCGGTTAGCTTTCTTTGTCCACTTTCATGACAGGTGAGAATCTTTAAACCGCCTTGTGCGGTTTGAAAACGCTTTCGATTTGGTGCTATCAATGTTGCGTGACATGTCGATATTATTTTCGCCCTGATTTCGCCCTCCCTTCAGCAGCGTATTCCCCCCGTCTGCTCCGACCAGCCTTGCATCTTTTATCCTAACAGGAGAGCGTTAATCTAACATCCCCGGTGGGGGGGTGAGGGGGGGGTGGTGGTGGACGTTGTAATCTGTTAATGTTTCCCGGGCCGTTATTAGGGAGATATAAATAGCAATGTGATTGGCTGTTTCCTTGACGTGCCCACCGGAGGGGGGTGTGGGGGTTGACCAAGTCACAGGCACAAGCCACACAAAACACACACACACACACACACACACACACACACACACACACACACACACACACACACACACACACACACACTCTCACGGACGCATTCTGCATGGGGCCTGCAGCTCTGCGTCCAATCAGGTCGGAGTCGTTGACAGAGGTCCGAGTGGAACGTCTCCGAGGTGTTTGTGTGCCACTGAATGTGTTGTCAGTTCCTCTGGCTGGGTAGGCAGATGTGATTGTTCCATCGCTGCCATTAAAATACTTGAACTCCTTCGCCCACTTAGCGTTTCTTCGCCAAGGTGGTGCCGCACGAATCCATCGCGATAAATCCCGCCGTGCGCAAACGTCACCCGTGCGTGGGCGCATCAGATATGTTTTCGAAGCTGCCTCCCGTTTACAGTGCCAGTCGGTTACGTGTTAGAGTGCTTATGCTAGCTAAATACAACGCTGCAATCAGGTGCCAACAGAATTCGAATTTGTGGCATTTCCAAACAAGTTTTCCCCGTTGGAAAAATAATTGCGTTACGCCCCTCAATATTGCGATTGCGATTTATTATGCGTTCTCTTCCCGTGTTAGGCTTACATAGACAGTTAATTTATCGACTTCAATTCGAGTTATTAATTTACTAAACATTTGGACTTTTGCAGTCTTTTAAGGATGCACTACGACAAATGGACACATTTCCACCAGACAATTCTGGTGTGAACATCAATCAGTGAGTCATTAGTCAGATTACAACAAATCTGTGACTTTACCACTTGAAAAGAAAATTGCATTCTTTTCCGATGAATTCTTCTGCCCGAGTTTGTATGTTCACCCCATGTTTCCTATTTAAAATTTGTATTTATTTTTTGTTTGGGCTACATAGGCTTTCTCTCACATTCCCACAAATACCGTCTGTCGTCGTTCCAAAGTTTTGTTCCTCCCCGCGGCCCAAATGATCGCAAGTGGTTCTGACAGCGGGTGGATGGTTGGTACATAATCAACAAACAGAAAAACGGCAAAGACAAATGTCATGAAATGAGCAAAGTCTTGAATAATGGCTCTCTGTCGTCCCCACATGACTTCCAAAACCACTCTTTCATTACAGCAAACGTCGAGCTGTGCGGAAAGTGCATTTGATTCAAATTGGGGGTGCTCTGCTGCTCGTATTTCAATCGCCGTGGGTTAGCGAGTATGTCAGCTCTCCCCCCATGTGTTACCTCTCAAACTTTCACCCAGAAATCACTTTTTCACAACGGGGGGTTCAAGAAGAAGCTTTCAACTGTGATTCATTCAGTGCGTCACAAACGAACCCGCTTCACCAGGGGTGTCAAAACTCATTTCACATTGGGGGCCACATACGGCCTCAGTAGATGTCAAGTGGGCCGGACCATTAAAATTATACCATACTCTGCTATAAATAACCAAAATAATATGTCTTTCCTTTGTTTTGGTCTAAAGAAGCACAAGAACATTCCGAAAATGTTTAAATTTAATGAACATGTCTTTTAGAAAACATTTATGAGGTCTTCTTCTCTGATCAAAACAATGTTGTTTTCTACGTGGATCAAAACAGTGTGTCCCCTAGCGGATACTCCATGAATTGCACATTATTAAAAATATTCATTCCGTGTCTTTTATGCATTTTTTTTTCACTTTTAAATGATCCAGTGGGCCTGATCAAACCTCCTTGGGGACCGGTTCCGGCCCACGGGCCGTATGTTTGACACCTCGGCACTACACCCCATCACACACTCCATCCAGCTTTTTTTTTTTGTCTCTTACTGTACCCCGTTTTTTTTTCTTGCACCCTCATCACCTCTTTCTTCCCTACTTTTTATCGATCGAAAAATGCATCCGAACTAATCGGGGGTATGTGACAAAAAAAAAAACAAAAGAATTCACCTTGCCATTCCAATACTTTTGGAGCGGATTGTACGTCGCTGTAGTGTGTTGTACTGAGCTGGCAGGGCTGACGTGGTGTTTCTTTCATTGTTCCTTCCGTCTTTGTTTTTGGCTCGTGGCCTTAGCAGCGTGTTCTTTGTCAAGACTTTTAATACAATTCACAGATGCTGACGGAATTTTCGCACGTCCGGATTGGAATCGGTATCGATTGTGTAGATGGGCCGCTGGCAACTCCGCGATAAACTTCTTAACGTGTCCCCCCGCGTCGTGTGAAAATTTCGAGCCGTGATGGGAAGCCCTGTCAAAAGGAAGGAAAAGAGCCCGGATGGAGTCAAGGGCTGTTCGAAAGGCCTTTTGAAGTGGGAGTCGGCCTCTCAGTAACCTGCCGGTTCAAACTTGTTTCTCGGGAAGCAGGTGCGACGACATTTCTTTGGCAGATTACGTTAACGGTTTCGATTATTTATCTTGGATTCTTTTGCTGTCTATTCTCTCTTCCTCTTGCTCCCTGGAAGCTCCTCATGAGTCATCACTGCAGGAGTCCTTCAACCAACCAAAATCCAGCAATCAGTGACTCCCACATTAACCCAAAAAAAAAAAAGCATAGGAATACTGCAATGTTTTTTCTTGTCAAGGCCATCTTCGTTACACGAGAAGGAGAGGGGGGAAAAAGCGAAAGAGAGGGCGGGAGAGCTAGTCCGCATGAACGCCATCCGGAATGAATTTTCTGTCAGCTACAATTTACGATCATTTTCACACTCGATGAATCTCACGGTCATTTTCTTTCGAGTAATCCTTGAATCAAATTCAAAACATGTTTTAATTTCCTTTCCTTTATTAAAAAAAAAAAAATGTTAATTCAAATTGACACTACAGCCAAAATGCGTCAATTTATTATCATTCGCTAACTTTTTTTGCCGCAGAACATGTGCAAAAATGTTGATCATTGTTTCCGAAAATCAAAACAGATGTTTGCAACTATCTGATTTGGAGTCAACACAAAGATAATGAATCATTACAGAATGGAGCGTTTTTATTGTTGAGAGTCTGAAATTCGAGGGAGTTTGGACTTTTTTAAATTCAACAAGGTCTCAAAACAACCAGTCGATGACCCCAAAAATAATTACCTCGTGGCCACATTCTGTGCATATCGTGATTCCTGCCGTTGTTTTCACTCAGCCTGGATTTTGTGTCAGGCTAGTACTAGCTTATCATGTGTCATGACATAAAACATCACTTAACAAGCTTCAATTGAAACTAACTAGGTGCGATCAAAACATTTGTCAACCAGCGGCTTTTTTGGGGGTTATCGAGAGCAAGGCAGCCTAATTCAGTGGGGATCCCAAGCCCCAATAAATCGGGAGTGTTGAAGTCACCAAGGGCATCTGTCCATTAAAATAAAAAAAATTAAAAAATCGTCACACCAAAACATCATCAGTAAACATCGAAACCTTAATAGCGAAAAATAAGAAGCTATAGATATTTATGCGAAGAAGTGAATACATTTATGCCCTTAACCCTTTAAGGGATAGCGGGTCACTACAGTGGACAACCTATCATGTTATCATGTTACAGGTTGTCATGATTGGCGCATGAAAGGGTTAAATAATACAACAATGCCAAATGTGATGCGATTTGATGTTTCTTTTGTCCAATCAGACATCAACAGCCACTGAAAAGACCAATGACCATTCGGTTTGACCGTGCAGGGAGGTGGGACTTTATTCGAAACCTAAGTCATAGAGAGGAGAGTAATACATGCCGACTGAGCGAATGGAATCCCGGGAATGCGTTATTACTTGCGTTACTCAGACTCTTGACAGGTATACTTGTGTTCATAATGCCTTACATGACTGCATTGTAAATTTCCCCAGTGTGGGACAAATAAAGGATATCTTATCTTATTAGTTACTGTCTTGTTTGCAACTGGTGCGCTACATCCCTACATTAAGGACAAACAATGCCAGTGGCTTGCGTTTAAAATTCATATCACATGACCATGTTTTGTCTCTCCTGCTTTTAGGAGTGTGCGGTTGTTGCGGGGCTCTCAGGCCTCGCTACAAGAGGCTGGTGGACAACATCTTCCCGGAAGACCCGGAGGTGAGTGGCTCAGATGGGAGCTTGGCATGGCCTTGTTGAGACGTCAGCCGACGATCAAGAGCTCTGTATTCATTCTTGAAATTTAAATGATACAATTTAATCCGTTCCCTGACCACGGTCTTAACTCAAAACTCTCTTATCTCAAATCCCCAAAATCTGATTTGACCTGCGATGTGAACATAGGCTACTCTAAGTGTCTCAATCATCTGCAGCAATATTAGTCTTTTTTTTGCAGAGGATAAAGAATATATGCCTTTGAGAATGATATAATCTTCCTTTAAGCGCTACAACACAGCCACATAGATGCTATTTGTTAGCCCATCATTGGCCTTTCTCATTACGTGTTAGCATTCATCTAGTGCGAAAATTTTGTTTGTTTTCAATGGATGCCTTTGTTTTAGACTCGCAATTAGAATCTTTGCCGTCTTCATGTTGGATTTGGCATCTTAACCAGGAGTGGCATTGAACAGCTTGAAGTCTGTGTTATACTGAACAGAGTAGCTGTGCTGCAATTAAAAGTGAAGGTCAACGCGTGAAGATAATTTGTCTTGTCAGAAGTGGACGATTGGGGAAACCACACAGCTCATCCTTAATTGAAAAGGCCGATGCGAGTCCAGTAACTTCTGGAGAAAATTATCGCATTTCTTACAGCTTGAACTGTTTCAGCGAGTTACGCTTCAGGAACACTTTCCTCGTCAGATCTCGGGCCAACACTGTCGAACGGGGAATTCGCCTCATTTCCTTCCTTGACTTTGACGCCTGGATTTTTGTTAAATTTTTTTCATACTCGCCCCCAAATTTAGCTCTGAAGCCGTCAAGTCGGGAACTGGAACAAACGAGAATGCTGTCACAATATTTATTCTAAATTAAGTTACAATGCTGTCATTCTTAAAATATCTTCTTTCTAAAAGAGATCACAGTGATGCATATGTGAAGCAAGTAAAGTAGGTCAAGGGAGCGGAAAAAAGGTTGTTTTTTTTTCCTCTCCTTTAATTTGTTTTCTTCCTCCAGGATGGACTGGTGAAGGCCAACATGGAGAAGCTGACATTTTACGCCCTGTCAGCTCCAGAGAAGCTGGACCGTATCGGAGCGTATTTGTCTGAGCGCTTGTCGAGGGACGTGGCGCGGCACAGATACGGGTGAGCATCACCTGTCAGTTTTCCTGGTGTCTTCACATTAAAAGATGCAACGTACCCGCCCTTTGGCAACGGCGTCATGTCAGGGGAGCGGCACAACTGAATAACTTTTCATCCCAGCGATTAAGCCCCGCTATCTGAAGACAAAAGCCTTTTCTATGATGAAATCCCTCGGAATTGCCGCTGCCTTTTATACAGAAGCCGATAAAGCAGAACATTATGAAATTAGCAGCAATTTCGGACAACAAAAAAAATCCATAAAGACCCGCACGATATTCTGTTGCGTGTCCATCTAAAAGAAAAACGAGACTCTCCCCTTTCACCAGAAACACCGTTTTCTGTTTAAAAAGCAGAAAAAAACAAAAGCATTTTGTTAAAAGAAACGTGTTAAGCGGAACAGAGACTTTGGCGCTAAGATATTTATATTTTTGGAACACCTCAAACGAAAACAAAACCAAGAAAGGGCTTTTAATGGCAAACGGATTATTTATAAGAATACTACCAAGAAATGTGCCACGACTGACACGGACTCACCGCAAATGGCTCAAGATGATTATCAGTGGCTTTATTTTTTCCACACGGCTTTTCTCATTCACTCCATGTACCGTGCCAACTTTTCTCACGAACACAACACACACTTTCTACGACACACATGTTCTAAACATGTCAGACCTCCAACGTGTTGGCATTTTTCTCCCTCATAATCGATGTAACAAGCCGAGATTGGCCCCCTCTTTAACTTCACCTCTTAAATTCAAAGAGACGCAATGTTGCCGTCTCATTTAAATTTTTTTTTTTCCAAAAGACAGCTTTTGTTGTCTGCTTTCCGAGAATTGATAGCGCTGTGTTGTGTCCGTTGCCTCAGTTACGTCTGCATCGCGATGGAAGCACTGGACCAGCTGTTGATGGCCTGCCACTGCCAGAGCATCAACTTGTTCGTGGAGAGCTTCCTCAAGATGGTCCGCAAGCTGCTGGAGTCCGACAAACCCAGTCTGCAGATTCTGGGAACCAATTCGGTCAGTCGCTAATGGGCATTTTTTTTTTTTAAATAGCAGTTCCAAGGCTCCAAAAAAACATAGAGTGAATGAACAATTAGTTTTATTTATTAATTTTTTTGTTTTATAGAATCAACAGTTTTTGTTTATTAAATTCTCATTGTGTATAACAGCAAACTTACATTTTTTTTTTTTTCCTGAATGAAAGATTTATTGTGCAGAACTTAAAAGTCAAACTCAAAACTCAGAACTCTTTTGTGAAAACAACTCAGAACATTACTGATAAATTATAAATATTTCATACTATAATAAACATCGCTTTTAATCTGATAGGTCACTCCTGGCTGACATACACCATAACAGAAGTGAATTAGTTTCCAGTTTTGGTCCTCTATAGCGAATATTAATGTCTCTCCAGAATCTAGACATTTATTAATTTGCCTGCTATTTTGCTTTTCCAATTTGGATGTGTTCCACTTTAAAGCGGTTCGAGTCAGACTTCTCTGAATAGTGGACTCGGTCACCTAAGCACCTAATTGTGGCGTTAAAAGCGCTAGCCGTGTCATTTTTGAGGTTAGCTTAGCATTTAGCAGGAGTTCTCTGCCTTTTCTCGTCATTCCTTCGTGAGTATGATACTTGTCAGAAATGTAGCTTATTCGCTGCTTACACAGGCGAAGATTACTGACAATATGTTTCGGCGCACAAGTAGCCAGCTGAAGCTGTTGCTAGCTAGCTGCTTCTGAGTATAGCACAGGGCTTCTCTTAATGTCTGATTATTCCGCGGTAGGCGACGTGAGCCCACAAACCTTTTTGGGATTGGGTCGGTGGTTCATTTGCTGCAGTTTTGCTGTTAAAGGCATTTTGATGAGGCACAAAATGCTAATTTTGCCTCGCAAACTGAGATGCGAAACCGCTTATTTTGAGCCTGGAGTTATATAAACAGTGATTTAATGTGGTTTGTGTTGGCCTTTGGGCAGCGGTCCCCAACACCCCCCTTTTTTTTGTTGTTGCTACATTTGAGAGGGTTGGAGTCAGCAGTAGAACCAATAAAGCATTGTGGAAACTATGGAAGCGCCTTTACTAATTTTGGATGGCTTTCGTACGAGTGTATCACATGTCTAAGCTCAAGCAGTTCAAGCAAAAAAAAACTTTTCCAGACTCTAAGAATAAAAATAAATCAATAAATGAATAAAAATAATAACTTGTCCACTTTCTCTAAGCAGCCTGGTACTGAATAACCCACAGATGGGTGGTTGTGGACCGCTGCTTTGTGGATGTTTTTCGTTCCTCCAATGTTCGAAGTCATTTTGAGATGGCAAAGTACTTGACAGAAGGAGCTCGTCACTCGCCATCCCCCGGGTCAGCAGAGGACGCTGAAAGGAAATGAGGTTAGCTGCAGAGCACGTTGGCAAAGCCAGGCGGCCATCGACACGGATTGACAAGGCACGCCACCATCTTATTTATAATCTTCCTGGCAGACGTCTCACTCTCGTGCACATCCTCCTGAAGGCTGTGATACCGATGTGCATCACAAAGCCATTTTGTTAATTTTGCCAAACCATTTCAAGCAAGAGCAGTGGATGCCTGACTCTCAAACACGTTAAAAGCTTGATGAACTTGGAGTTGGACCAAAAGTCTTCGTGCTGTGGGCGTGCCTCGCTTGACCTCATTTCAACCAGCATCAAGGATTTACATCTGCGTATGTTTTTAGCTTTTTTCTACGGCTGAATTTGAAGAAGAACATGTATCCAGAGTATCCATCCATCCATGATCGTACCCTCAAGAGAGTCGTGGGCGTGCTGGAGCTTAACCCAGCTGTCTTCGGCAGTTGGCGGGCACACCCTGAACTGGTTGCTAGCTATTTGCAGGGCGCACATAGACAAACAGGAACCATCTGCACTCACAATGACACATGGCGACAATTTTGAATGTTCCATTAACTTAGCATGCATATTTTTTGGAACGTGGGAGAAAAGCGCAGTACCCGGAGAAAGTCCACGCAGGCACGGGGAGCACATACAAAAACTCCACACAGGAAGTCGGGAGCCCGTAATCGAACTCTGCACCTCTGGACTGTGAGGCGGACGTGCTAACCAAGTCGCACAGCGTGTCGCCTGCACCAGAATAATCCGACTCATTTGAAGCAATTTATTTTAGCCCTGTCCAACACCACCACTACCACATAAATGCTCACCACTCATCAGCCCATCAGTAGCATTTCCCATCGTTACTAACCATTAAGCTAGCAGACATTCACGCAAAGCTACGTGGTTGTTTAACATACATTTGTAATTGCCTTTGTTTTCGGTTTAGTTTGACAGTTGACTTCAAATGGGACTGGCAAAAAAAAAAAAAAAAAGCCCAAAGCCGCGTTTTTGATATTTGTTTCTATTTCTTGTTGTTGTTCCGTTCCCGCTAACTCCATGGGACTCCCAACCAAAGCGGGGATTGAACAACTTTTTGTAAACAAAAGATTTGGATCATCTGGTGTTGATGTCGTTCATTTGAGTTAATGTGTTTGTGCTTTTTTTCTGCAATATATTGACAGCTATCTTAGCTTCTCACGCTAGCAATTAGCTTTTGATTACAATCTTTAACATCAGTGTGGTATTGGCCAACTTATTTTGAACAAAAGGTCTTTCATTATTATTATTATTATTTTTAAACAAGGCGGTAAGAATGAAGTCACGCCACCCGCTTTGGGACACATCATTATTATTTTTCAAAAGGTTGACAAGTATGCGTTATGTTTTGATGTGAGTGGTTGATTTCATGCCATACTGGTGCCGCATGCTTGAACGCTTAATGCACAACGCGAGTCGCTGATGTAAGGCAGACTTTCACCAGCGAGAGCTGAAAGGTATGGATTATGAGCTGTGGGACTTAACCCTGTTTTAATCATCGGAACGGTACTCTGCAGCCCATTCCAGGGGGGCGCCGCTTCAAAAACACATGAGTTAGTGTTCAGTCCACTCACGCTTATGTACTTGTTGCCAGGAGACTTAAGGCGATATAGACTGAGATGCAGTAATACTACTACGACTACACGTAGCGCTTTCAGTCAAGAGTGATTCAGCTGATAACGCCTGCAGTAACTGAGACCAGCTTCAGGTCTGGCCTCACTTTACTGAATTCTTACAAGGACACTTACCAAAGTCATAAAATTTGAGGATTATAAAATTTGCAAACATACAATTTACATCAAGGATAAAGCTGCGGATGATTTGTTCATGATAGTCACCCCCATAAGTCCTGCAATTTCCCTCCACCCTTCACAGCTTATTAATTAGAGAAGCTAAATGTCAGGAATGTTTTAATGAGGTCCTTTAGTGGCCTAGTGGCAATCCCCCGATTCCTCACTCCATGCTTTTCACTCCGACTTATGTTTTATGTGACAAGGTTTTGATTTTTGGTTTGTTCACATGGCCACCGTGAAATTGAACGTGGTTTTGATTGCGGTTATTCACATGAAATAAATGCTCTTTGGTGTGAGGCCCTTTTGGAGCTGCGGTGTAAAAAACTTGACACTTGTTGTCGCTCTCCTTCAGTTTGTGAAGTTTGCCAACATAGAGGAGGACACGCCATCCTACCACCGCAGTTACGACTTCTTCGTGTCGCGCTTCAGTGAGATGTGCCACTCCGGCTATGAGGACCCCGACATCCGCACCAAGTCAGTGGACCCACTGATTTGTTAACACACACACACACACACACACACACACACACACACACACACACACACACACACACACACACACACACACAAATTCAGAGATTTGTTTCAAGTACATTGTACAGGTTTGAAGATAATTACTGAAAACATACAAATACATTTGAGAAGCTATAGCTATCATGTTGTTGATTTCAATTTTCTTGATTTTTTTTTTGGGGGGGGGGTGGCTAAAATATTGTATGTAAAATGTTACACATTATGGCATGAGCCTTCATCTGCATCTCTGGTTAGCTGCTGTTGCAGATGCAAAGTGCACTTAGCTAGCTAACTAAGCCTACACCCCCAAAATGCATCGAGTAGAATCAGGGGTGCCCAAACTTTTTGGACCGAAGATCGACTTTTCGGTCAACCAACCTCCCGCGATCGACCAGTTACTGCGCACGCACATACACACGTTTTTTTTTCTCCTCTACACCCCTCGTGATCGATTTGGGACCAGTCCGCGATCTACCGGTCGATTGCGATCGACGTAATGGGCACCCTTGGAGTAAATAGTCTTCTGCCTCGTCGTGAAGTGATGTGACGCCTAACAGCGTACAATGAACTGGACCGGAAATGATTGAAGTAACATTCTTAACTGTTATACAAGTGCAAATAGATGTTGGCCAAGATCTAATCAAAATTTTGAAGTTGCGCGAGATTGTAAAACAAACTGATCGGATGATGTTTTAGGTAGCGTTCGTTAACTTTCTTAACTGTCATATAAGTATGATGATTTTAAAACACTGTTGAGATAAACTGAACTAAAAAGTAACCACTCTGGTCGTTTGACGATGCCTGTGAGACACATTTGCTGACATCCCCACGTATGGCAATGGTTTTAAATTCCAAGATTTGTTTGACAATCAAAACTTGGCTTGGGATATTTGTGGTGGGCAACAGGAACGCTTTCTTGGCTTCCCTTCCAAATCTCATAATTGCTCGCTCCCTGTGGCTCCCAGGATCCGGATGGCGGGCATCAAGGGTCTGCAAGGCGTGGTGAGGAAGACTGTGAATGACGAGCTTCAGGCTAACATCTGGGATCCTCAGCACATGGACAAGATCGTCCCGTCTCTGCTGTTCAACTTGCAGAGTAGCGAGCGCACAGAGAGGTTAGATTTGCCTCATGGGCTAACAGACTTTCCTTACCTTTATTGAGCTTAGGCACAACTTTTTACAGCCGAGAAATCCATAGAGTCACGTCAAGTAAAACTTTACTGTCAAATGCGCTGTATGTGCAACATACAGCACAGATGAAATTTCCTCCCTCTCAACCAGACAAGAGGAGCCGCTGCGAGTGCCCGCGCCGCCATCAAAAGAACAGTTAACATCAAATGACAAAATAATACAACACAACACATAAGACACAGACAGTCGTGCAATCTTAACCACTTTTCCTGCATACACTTTGCTGTTTGAAGCAGTTATAGATGAAAGAGGAGCGAATCAAAGTATCTTTTTGTGGATCAAAGTATCAACGATGTCATGCTGAAAATGTGCATACGTCTGCTACAAGCTAAGTTTGAAAGCAGCAAGAAGCTGTAGCGTCCATTAACGGAAAAGAGATTGGCTCTCATCTCCTGTCCCATGTAAATCCGCTTCAATTCCAAGCCGCGACTCCCAGTTCCACATACACATCGGCGCTCTGCGCTGATGCTCTTTTCTTCTCATCGTCTGCTCCTCAAGCCATGCAGCCATCCAGCCGCAGACTGTCCATCAGCACCGACCTTTTCGCTGAACAAAGCGGGGCTGTGAAAATGCTGCCCATTACAGGAGCAAAACACAATCGCACAATCGACTGTCGAGCAACGACAGTCAAATAGCGCCGACATTCCTCCCGATCAAAATCAGTGCTGGTACACTTGTGCTGCCGAGAAGGCGCAACCACCAAGCACAGATTCTTTTTCTTTGATTAATGCTGATGCCAAAAATGCTGAAAACAATCCACATCAGGTCAACACGACCTAACAACACCATGTGACAAAACAAAAGACAAAAAGAACAAAAACAACAAAAACGCAAGGCTCTTGAAGAGCACTTGCCGACGGCTGCCTACTCAGGCGCCATCTTTGGGTTCATCTATGGGCACTAACGTGCCATGGCGCAATGACCGGGAATCAGTCATTTGAACAAAAGCATATTGTGGCATGTTTTGAAGATGCTGTTTTTTAGTAGTTTAGTTGTTATGTGCGCCCGCAGAATCGAAACTCATCATTATGGTGTCGCATGCTGTTGTTTGGTTGGTTAAAAAAAAAAAAAATGTTGCCACAGTTGTCCCATAGCGCCACTATCAGCCATCACACATTACTCAGCTTTGACCAGAAATAGTGCGCAAAGACGAAAAAGAAACGGGAGAGGTGAAAAAGATGCAGAAACACACAGCTTGACCCCTGTTCATCTTCGAGCCTTTGTGAGGTTGGCTCCCGTTGCGCCTCTTTCAATTTCCCTTCACAGTCAGTTTGGCAAGCGACTGGCAATAACACAGCACAAATCGGGACATTCGGCCCAGGGTGTAATTACTGTTGGCTTGCAGATGGTGCTTGTTTCCTCTTAATCCCCGTGCACATATGCAAACTCGTTGACGTCAGATTTAAAAGACAAATTATTCGTATTTTTTTATATTTCGGTCTCAGTGTTTGTAGTGGGCAAACACTTGAGCAGTGAGGCCTGAACATGTTTTAAGCCATACGTAAGACACTTGAGCGCAAAGCTCACTGCGAGGTTGGAAGCCACACTCCTCGCACAGCAGGAGAGACGACAGTGTGAGGCTTACGATGAATAATGTAATTGGCGGTGGACCAACTGAGGATAGATAATAAATGCCCCATGCAGAAATATGCCAACCATTGACATTTCTCATTGAGATTAATAATATTTGGCATGTTCAAATCCAATTCCAATGAAGCTCTCAACCGTTGACATCATGGAACCTTCTTTCACTCTACCGGCAATCTTTGAAGTAACATTTTAACATTCTTAATAGAATTGAAGCAGTCTATATAGAGTAAAATATTTAACATGATGATATCAGTCCATATTTGTGCTTGGACTCGAAAAGAATGCTCCGATACCAATATAGCAATACCGCTTTACCTAGCTGGCAAATGACTTGCCGGCAGGTTGAAGGGGGGCCATGTCAGCCATGTAGTGATCAGAATAACACACGGCAACATGTCAAGTAAATGAAAGTAAGCGATGGTGTGATAAAGTATGTCTTTGCTTGTCCTGTCTGGTTTTATTTGATAATTTAAGGTATTCTCAAGCAGCAGGTAAAATGGCAGTCGCATTTCTGTTGCCTTGCTTTTGTTACTCTAAAAAGTTCTATGTGGGTGAAACTTATGCCGTGTTCGATTTTTTTTCATCCAATGTTCGATTATAATAGACATTTTCATCACAACTCCAAGACGTAGTATCAGTATTTGATTTTGTCAAGTACTCAAAATTCAAGTGTAAAAAGTGGTTTTGGTGCATCCCTACATTTAAGGGTTTTTTTTTTTCCATAAAAATTTTACGAGGTATTTTTCTTTGTCAGACTCCAGTTGTATGAGCTTTAAGGTGTAAAATTGTAGAATTAACGTGTGTATGCATCAAACTAATGGTGTTTTGCTCTCTCTTCCTCTCTCAATTCTGCCCTATTCTCCTCCTGCCTTTTTTTTTTTTTCTTCACCTGTGTTTTCCTGCCACACTCACACCCGCCAGTCGGTCCCCCTCTCCGCTGCAGGCTTCGGACAAGGAGAAAGAGAGCCCGGTGGAGCTTACAGAGCGATGCTTCAGGGAGCTGCTGGGCCGAGCTGCCTATGGAAACATTAAGAACGCGGTCACTCCTGTGCTCATGTAAGATGAACACCAAGAGTTCAATCTGCAAGATGGATCTGGGCTTTGCTCGTTACTGCAAACTCCATGGCTGCATATAATGTACTTCTTATCCCTAAGCTTCAATTTCCTTCTCATTTCCCTTCTGCTCATCTCCTTCGCTTTGATGGAGCAGCTATTTTCCATCAATCACTGTCCTTGTTTTTGTCTGCGGTCATTTTTCCTCACTCTGTCCCCGCATCACCCTTCAAGTAGCAGCTGCAGCGTTGCCAACCGCACAGCAGAAATGACCTTGCTGATGTGTGATGGATTGCGCGGCACCTCTCTTAAGTGATAATTAGACGTTTGTGTCAATCTGCGGCCAGCAAACACAGCGATGATGTCTTGGGAATGCCTTTCTAATATGAGTGAATAAGTCATGACTGAAATTTGTATTCTTTGTGTGTCCCCAAAGGCATCTCGACAATCACTCTCTTTGGCAGGGAAAAACCTTTGCTGTGCGTTGTTTTAAAATCATCATGTACTCCATTCAGGTAAGTACGACTTTGGTGACATTTTGTAACGATAAAAAAAGCAAATATGACTGTTGGTATTTAATATCAAATGTTTTGATATGTTGAAATGTAATTTTGTGTAACCAGCTAAAAAGATGCAGATGATGTCATTGAATGAACGCATTAACATAATTTAATATCAAATGTTTTGATATGTTGAAATGTTGTAATTTTGTGTAACCAGCTAAAAGGATGCAGATGATGTCATTGAATGAACGCATTAACATTTTAAATGTGTGATCCATTGTGGGCGTACCACAGGGATCCTTGCTAGATCATGTTTTTCTCCCCATATAGCACCTCGATAGTGCACAGCAAGAGACTTTATTTTATTTATTTATTTTCCCCTTGCTGTTTCTCTCAGTCGCAGCATTCCCACCTGGTCATCCAGCAACTTCTCGGTCATCTGGACGAAGTTAGATCAGCGCGGATCCTGGACGTATGTGGTCTGTTCGGCAATGTGTTTATATGTGCCTTCCAGGCCCCACTGTGCTGGAGGTATTCAACACACTACTACGACAACTCCGTCTCAGCGTGGACTACGAGCTGACCGGCTCCTATGACGGCAGCACCAACATCGGCACCAAGATCATCAAAGCTCATGAGGAGAGGCAGCTGCAGGAAGCTGTTATCAGAACCATTGGTGAGTGTGTTTTTGTGCCGTAAATGCTTTAGTTGGATACATGGGACTTGTGGTTGGACCACCTCAGAGATTTTTGTGGTTTCATTCCATTTCCTCTTGGAATGTTTGAGAAACTACACATAATGTGTTGGGATGTATTACTGCCGTCTCTCATTGTGCTTGTCAAACTTGTGTAATAGCTCGAGGATTGCGTAACTCTCCAAAGCTTCAGAAACGCTTCCTACAAAAGCAATAAAAGTGACTTGAGTGAAACAATTTACATCTGTTTATTTATTCAATAATTCAGTAAAATCGTCTGATTCTCTTGCCCACAGAATTAAATTTCAATTACAGTTTTCTTATTATCATCCCTCATTGTCTTTTTTAGGTTCCTTTGCCAACACTTTACCGACCTACCAAAGGTCTGAAGTCATGCTCTTCATCATGGGCAAGATCCCCGTTCCCGGTGTTCATCCGTTACTACCTTCTTCAGGCTCTGGGTAGGCAGCACTCCCTCAAAACTCCCAGACAAAACATATTTGTCTTTTTTTTTTCCCCCATTTTGAAAAAAAAAAATCTCTGGCCTACATATTGTTGAGGTTTTTTTATCCTCTCTCAGGCCTGAGGGTACCAGGATGATTCAGGTTATGTTACTAAAGTCACTGGTCCAGGTGAGTCTGCATATCAGCTTATTTCACCCAGCAAATATTTTTTTTTTTTATCCTCTCTCAGGCCTGAGGGTACCAGGATGATTCAGGTTATGTTACTAAAGTCACTGGTCCAGGTGAGTCTGCATATCAGCTTATTTCACCCAGCAAATATTTTTTAAACGGTCCCAACAATAAGGATGTATTTGTTGCTATATAAAATAGTTGATATGTTTGCGCAGGTGACTGCAGGTTACCAGACAACCAACATGCTTACAGCTCTGCCTAGCTCCTTCCTGGAGCCTTTGCTCTCTTTCTCCCTAACCGAAGACTCCGAGGTTCGGCTGCTGGTGCTTCAAATCCTCCTCAGTCTCATTGACAGGCATGACAACCGGCCCAAATTCTCCAACATAAGGTGTGTATCTATGTGGTGCTTAAATCACCCACTCGGAGCTTGGCTTTGTTGAACTCATTAACTTCGGCGTGACTTTGCTTTGCAGCATTATCACCGACATCTCAGTGCTGAAGCTCAAAGTGGACAAGTGCTCCAGACAGGACAATTTGTTCATGAAAAAGGTAACTGAACTGGTTGTGTTTTCTATCTCTCATTGACAGTGTGTCTTGAACGCATTCCTTCTCTCACCAGCACGGCCAGCAGTTGTATCGGCACATCTACTTGGGGTGTAAAGAGCAGAGTAGCGGCAGGCAGCACTATGAGAGTCTCTTTGCCTTGCTTGCTCTTCTCAGCGTTGAGCTTGCTAACGAAGAAGTGGTCGTTGACCTCATTCGCCTGGCTCTCGCTCTGCAGGTATTGATGGAATGGAATAGTTGATGTCGCTGGAGTTACATAGTCATGCATGTTATCCGCCGGTTATAAAAGGTAATGGTAGTAAATACAAATAGCAAAAATTAAGGACATTAAATGGTATTAAAATAAATGTTAGGAGATCATGTATTTTCATTTAGTGATGTGTAAGATAAGCAAGTACTGTATTTCCTGCACTATAATGCGCTTCGGATTATAAGGCGCACCTTAAAACTTTTTTTTCATATAAAGGTCGCACTGCATTATAAGGCGCATTAAATAGAAGCTACAATAGTGGCTGCGGTTGTGCTACGCATCCACTCAATGGAGCTACGCTAAAGGAAATACAATACAATACAGCTTTCTTTATGTCGAGCCTTCACAATGAGAACTGGTCACAAACACGGACAGGAAACATAAATACAAATGAGATTTCAGAACAATAAATGAAAGACAAAAGTGATGAGGACAATTTATTCAACAAAAAGGCGCACACACCTCGTGGGCTCACATCCACAACGGGCTAAATATCCTTAGAGGTCTTGCTTATCTTCCTTTGTTTCGTCAGTATTTAACGATGCTTTTGGTATTATCTTCATTTCCTAATGCCTGCGCAGAGGTTATAATTGGCTCCTGGTAAAAATCACCACTAGATGGCGTAGGAACACTAACAGGGAAACAACTCACTGGGGAATATAAAGAGACGACAACGGCATATATAAAGCGCATCGGATTATAGGGCGCACTGTCGGCTTTTGGGAAACTTGAATGCTTTTAAGTGCGCCTTATAGTGCGGAAAACAGAAGTGAAATTGGATATTTTTCTGATGATCTCTTTTGGCACAGTAATGTGTCATGGCACAGTGTTTGTGAATCACTGTAAACTACCAATGAATTCTGATGTTTTTAAAATGTGAAGTAATGTGGGGATTCCACAGGGATCATGACTAAATCTACAAAATTTTTTCCCCCCCCAAAACCGTATGTAGGACCTGGCTCTGTCCACTGATGAGGGGCTACCGGTTTATAACCGCTGTGCAGTCCATGCGCTTGCTGCAGCCTACCTCAACCTCATCTGCCAGCTTACCACTGTCCCTGCCTTCTGCCAGCACATACACGAGGTCAGTTACACTTCTGTGCAAGCACCATGTTCCTTGTTCCACGCATTGATATCTTCCTCAGGTGATCGAGGTGAGACAGAAAGAAAGTCCTTACCTGTTGCCCGAGGATATCTTTATTGATCTGCCCAGGTACGTCCAGACCAAATTGGTTCCCACACACTTACGTTACACTTCCTGTGACATCTCTCCTCACCTTTCGTAGACTCCCCACCTCGCTCGACAAGCTAGAAAGCAACATGCTCTTCCTCCAGTCCAAGATCACGGAAGTCCTCGGAGGCAGCGGTTACAACACGGAGCGACTTGCAACCCCATATGTCCCCCAGTATACTGGTAAGGAAATGTTCTTAAGGAGCCATGATGTGCATTTTTACAATTTAAAACATTTCCCAGTTGTCCGAATTACCTGTGCGACATTCTGGTTCCTAGCTGATCATGTCGTGGACTGAGAATCTTGGTGTAGGTGCGGTTATTATGCTAATAGGACCAATCTTTTCCAGAAAGAAGATAACAAAAGATTAATTTCATATTTAATGTACGCGTTGTCAAACCAGGAAGCAAATTATTTGTGTACAAGCCATTTTTCTTAATGTATCTTCTGTGAATGCCATTATTACGTTGCTGGTGTACCTATTTGTTAAGATGAGGATCGCCTGTCAAAAAGAAAGAGCATCGGGGAGACAATCTCACTTCAGGTTGAAGTGGAGTCCCGGAACAGTCCAGAAAAAGAGGAAGTAAGAGCCAAAAATCCCTTTAAACGCATTGCAGCCACTCACCCGATGACTGTGAACCTTCTGTTCTTGCAGCGAAGTCCCGCTGAAGAGATCACCTTCGAAACGTTGAAAAACGCCATCGGTATGTCCACGCTCTCACTCGACAGTGCATTTCACTTTCGCAAGCCTCCCGGCGTAAATGTATTAAAATGAAACATCTCAATGAACGTGCAGACCGCCACAGATGATCCGTATCGAATTTGGCAAGCAGTTGGCTGGATTTGTTCAGTTTATTGTGCCTGAAAGAAAACAAACATCTGTTACTCATTCAAATTTTGGAAGGCTACAGTGGCTGCTCCAATGTCAACAGGAGTGTTTATTGCGTGACCATGCCATGGTTAATCTAATTTTCATCGAGGATTGTCTTGGATTTGCCTGGCATGGAGTAGGGATTTTCAAACTGGAGAGTTTGTTTCAGGCTTCCACTGGGTTAACTTGCGTGTGTTCTGGCGATAAATGGTTCATTTGACTATGTTTGAGTTCAATTTGCATCTTGATCTTCAACAATTTGGGAAACCGTGCTCTACACTCCCTTCCAAAAGCAGCGGTGAACCCAATTCCTTTCTTTATTCTCGTTGTGGACTGAAACTATGTGGGTCTGACATCTGAAGATGAATATGGGACAAAGGATCAACAGTATAACTTTTATGACCAGGTACTTGACAGTACATCTGGATCTGATATCAGAACTTACACAGACACCTTTTTTTGTCCAAACCCCCTCATTCATCATGTGCACAAAGCTCCTGCCAAAATGACAAAGGAGTTTGTCAGAGGCAAGATGGTAAAAGGTGTTATTCTGGCTCAGTCACTCCCTTCTGACCAAAATCTTATAGAGCCAGCGGCATCAAATTATTTTATTTTGTGGCCCAACGTGCACGCCTTTCCATTTTCTGATCCGCTTTATCCTCACAAGGGTTGCGGGGCATGCTGGTGCCTATCCCAGCTGTCTTTGGGCAATACTGCTGCGCATATACGTCAAAATTGTAGTTACTGTCAAAAACCAGTGGCGTTCCTCAAGGCTCAGTAGTCAGTCCGCATATTTTTACAGTATACCCTACATTAACGTGAAGGAATTCAGGGCCGACCCTCCCAGTTATAATGCATACTTGGCATCTATAGTCATCAATGTCATGCTAATGGTGTTCCACAAGGCTCAATACCAGGTCCATCCATCCTTCCATCCATTTTCCGATCCCCTTATCCTCACAAGGGTCGCGGGGGGTGCTGGAGCCTATCCCAGCAGTCTTCGGGCAGTAGGCGAGGGACACCCTGAACCAGTTGCCAGCCAATCGCAGGGCACACAGAGACGAACAACCATCCGCGCTCACACTCACACCTTGGGACAATTTAGAGGGCTCAATCAGCCTGCCATGCATGCTTTTGGAATGTGGGAGGAAACCGGAGTACCCGGAGAAAACACACGCAGGCACGGGGAGAACATGCAAACTCGACACAGGAAGGCCGGAACCGGGATCAAACCCACGACCTATGAGATCGACGCGCTCAACACTGGATCACCGGACCGCTGTGCACGCATTCATAAAGTCTTATTTTACTCTAATGCATCTCTTTAGCGCACCTAAATGTTAAAATACTAGCTATGTTTAGTAGCAGATCCACATGGATCTGCCTGCAAACTAAAAGATGAAATGCATCTTTTGATGCCAAACCCATATGTTTTGAGTCTACTGGAGAAAATAAATGAATTGGCCCCGCTGTTCCATTTATGGAGTTAACCACAAAAGTCATAACACTCATTGAACTATTAAGACAGCAAACACTTGGGCCGGCCCATATGGCAGCAGTCATGTCTTGCTGTAATAAGGCAAATAACTCAATGTAAATGCCTCTTTCATGGGACTGTGAAAGACGCTGGTTCATCCAAACAATCTCGTGCTGGGTGGATAGCCAAAGGATTAGTAGCGCATTTGCAATTCTAAAAAAAACTGCAGTTTGTTTTGAAAGAACCCCCGGAGAATGGCAAAGGTGATTGACGGTGTGGACATAGCAGAAAGAAAATCAAGAGGCGGCCCGGTGGTCAACTGGTTAGCGTGTCGGCAACACAGAGCGGAGGTGCAGGGTTCGATTTCGGCTCCAGCCTTCCTGTGTGAAGTTTGCATGTTCTCCCCGTGCCTGCGTGGGTTTTCTCCGGGTACTCCGGTTTCCTCCCACATTCCAAAAACATGCGTGGCAGGGTAACGGAACACTCTAAATTGTCCCCAGGTGTAAATGTGAGCGTGGATGGTTGTTCGTCTATGTGTGCCCTGTGATTGGCTGGCAACCAGTTCAGGGTGTACCCCGAAGACAGCTGGGATGGGCTGCTGCACACCCCACGACCCTTGTGAAGATACGCGGTTCAGAAAATGGATGGATGGATGAAGGTCATTTTGTACTTGACAGAAAAAGTCGAGTGTTTAAGATTAAAAATGTGCACGGATGAATAGTCATGGGGAGTGATGGTGGTTTTGAGTCGTAGAGTTTTGCTTGTTGAATAAAAAGTTTTGACATCAATGTATAGGTGTGTTTTAATAGTATAATATCCATCAGAATAATTTACTATAATATTTTTCCCTTCGTTGCGCCCTGCCTAACCTGACGGATTCTTGCCTTGTTTCCGTCCCCCCGCCTCCCGCAGTGGACAGCGTGGGCATGGAGGAGCAGGAGAGGGAGCGGAGGAGGCAAGTGGTGGAAAAGTTCCAGAAAGCTCCCTTTGAGGAGATCGCTGCCCACTGCGGTGCTCGGGTACAACAAAGACAATCATTCTATTTTACACACGTCTTTTTATTATTATTTTTTCTTCCTAGCAGTTTGTCTCACACCTTGTTTTTCCAAAACTCTTTTGTCTTGATCAGGCCACACTGCTGCAGAGCAAACTCAACCAGATCTTTGAGATTACAATCAGGTGAGCGACACAGATGGTTTGTGTCAATCATTTCCCAAGATGATGATTGCAACGACAATCTCTTCTCAGGCCCCCGCCGAGCCCATCCGGGACCATATCGTCCGGCTACGGCCAGAGCCAGACTCGCTCAGTGCCCATCTACGAGATGAAGTTTCCCGACCTTTGCGTGTATTGAGACGGCAAGGTTACCGAACTTTTCGTGTCCTGTCAAACGGCAACGACCGCGGATGTTTTTTCCCCCGGGGAGAGGCGAAAAAACATGCAGCTGCTGCAAGCCAAAAACTTAAAGCCACATTTTCCTCTAGCCTGCCATATAGGAATGTTTCGGACAATCTTTTCCGTCTTCTGCACTGATTGTGTTTTCGCCTTTTTTTTTTTTCCTTTTTCTTAGTGCTAGCCAATACTGATTTCCATCATTCCGCATGGCCATAGTTTTACCCTTATTTATTATTCAAGAATTCCTTTTTTAACAGTAGGATAATAAGTCTCTCTCCAACTCATCACGAGGAAAGCCGCCCCCACCCCCCGTATTAATGTGTACAGAGAACTATATAAATAATCTTTCGGCTCATGTAGTCAAGAGGTATGTGCAAATGTGCGTGCGTGTGTGTGTGTGTGTGTGTGTGTGTGTGTGTGTGTGTGTGTGTGTGTGTGTGTGTGTGTGTATAGTTTTATTTTGTTTAGGAACTCACATCTTAACTGATGCTCGTCGTCGCTGAACTCATTCACTCCCAAAGACGTTTTTAAACGTCTTTTCAGACTTGGTCCAGAATTGGCTGGTACTGAATGAGTTTAATTAAAATATCTAATGGCCGCCCCCTCGAAATCTGAAAATCCGAAATGGTAATATGATGAACAGGCCGCCGTCCGTCTCTGCTCGGGTTTTCTTGGGAGTCGAGCTTTGTGTCATCCTGACTCACGATGCACGGGTGGACGCCTCCAAGCTATGGCGTCTTACCAACTCGAAGCCATCTCCGGTGTGTGCGCAAACTACAAGTTGCAGATTAATTAAAAGCAAAAAAAAAGACGATAAAAATAAGTGCTCGGTCAGTCGCGGCACCTGTGTTTATTTGGATAGAGGCTGGAAGGTTTTAGTCTGGCTCAGCGAATCCCCACAGACCTAAACAACTATAGAGCTGAAGAAGGGGACTGAGGGGAGGAAGCAGCCCAAAACAAACAAGAACGAAACCAACAATCCCTGTTGTGGTGCTCCAAGACAGTGGAAGGTTTTAGTCTGGCCAAGTCAATCCCTCCAGATTTCAACCCTCGAGAGGAGACCTTTTACCCCCCACAACAAGGAGACGAAAGTGAATACCCGGCTCAAAACGAACATCATCTGGCTGCCTGAAAAATAATCACAAAAGGATAACAAAGCACTCTCGGCCGGCCAACTGTCGGTAGCTGATGTGCGTGCGTGCGTGCGTTTGTGTGTGTGTATGTGTGTGTGAGAACCAACAGTCGTCGTTGTGGTGCTGTGACGGTCCATCTCTGATCTGCTGCTTCCATCAATTCAGTTGCTCTGATCTGCTTTGTCTCCCGACTGTCATCGGTAAAACGCTCCCGCCAAGTCATGTCCGTGTCCGTCCCGCGTGGTTGTCTTCCTCGTCTCTATTGCCCAGATCCCGAGATCAAACTCTTCCTCATTTGCGGTCGTTTCTTGTGAATCTTTGATCGTTCCAAGTTGTCTGCAAAGCGTCCCGGAGTGATGCTTGAAAACACGCGACTCCCTCTTAGTGTCACCACTCCACCTTAACGTGTCATTTCCCTGTCTGTGTATGGATAGTTTTGTTTACGACGTAGTGCTCGTGTAGTTCCAAGACTCATTTTGTGAACTTTGCACTTTAAAAACTGGAGAACCTAGTGACGAAGGCAGCTTTATTTTGTTTATTTTTGAGAGGGGGTGGGGGGGGGGGGAATGAAAAAAATGCCTTCGCGATTGGTGTGTCCTACCTGATGTTGCATGCTCCTGTGATGTTAGCTATCCAATAAAAATTGCCAGTCGACGACAGTGACGCTTCGGATTCTTTCATCCCCCCCCCGCCCTTCTTCCCACAGACTCGGCATCACGATGCGAAAAGAAATTTAATGTGGGCTGTTTAAATTACAAAACAAAAAAAGATATGGCCGGTTTAAACCACCAGTGTCAAACTTACGCCCCCCCCCCACCCC